CAACCGCCCTATGACATCATTCGGATATATCATAGAAAGATCTGATTGATGGATATGAGAACCCCGCTTCTATATGAGGTCAGCAGATTACTCTTCCTTGACAATGAGGCGCCGCTGAGGTATCACTCTGGCTATTCTCACCTGTGGAATGAGAGGAGGGTATTCACTCATTGTCTATATAGAATAGCTAGATACTGGCTCCTCATCAAAGAAGCCAGCAATTCATTTCTTTTCTTCTAGAGAAATAATATATATAAGAGTTACTGTGTGCCTCATACAATCTTCTTAGTATACTAAGTATCATATCTGTGATATCCTTGCAATAACTCTGTAGTCTACAAGCTCACTATTCAAGCAAGATAGTCAAGCTCACTTATACAACTTCTTAAACAACTATCTCTACATAACACTGCTGACTAGTCACTGCTTTGATTCTGTTATATTACAATTCAAATCACTTAACCTGATTACATGTTTGAATCAGTCAAGCTCTAACAGACTGATATAGCCTCATGCACCTGTGCTGGGACTGACCTGATCTCACTCTCTGAAGGAAACACTACATCATTCTCTAGAGTGTGTACATCTCTATCTCAGCAGGAATCTGAGATTTCTGAACTCACTGTGCATTTTGACATGGGCTCTTCAACCGCTCTGCCACTGTCACAGCCTCTACACACCTACATCTATCATGAAGATAGAGAGATTAAGATCAGAGATTCACTGAAATATAAGAAAAACATCTTGTCTGAATTTCACAGCTTTATCTGTACTCTTGAACAGAAATTTCACCTTAATCTGAGTCAGTATAATACTCATGAGATATGAGTAATATATGCTGTCAACCTTCTTGAAGGCATCTCTGCAACTACTTAAATTATCAAGAAGAGAGAGCTTGAGTGTATTAATGCTGTCATGACTTAAGAAGAATTCAAGAACTTTCTACTGAATCAAATTGAAGATCACTGTAACTGCAGCTTCACAGCAGTGCAGCAGTTCAACTCATTATATCAATGAGATGATGAAAATCCTTCTGATTTCAATGCAAGATTTGAAGAATATTGAGAGAAATTAACTGATGATTTGAATCAATTAAAAACACAGCTTTATCTTATGAAGCTGACTCACAAAGTGTGAATAATGATATCACAGTATCAGAGTTCATCAATCAATTGCACTGAGCTTGTCAACCTAACTTTCTGAATCTATTTAAATAATCAATTCTCTGAGAAAAAGATTAATAAGACTTCTTCTAAGTAATCAATGACAGAATCTAAATAATGTCATGATAGCTTCAGTGTGAAGAAAGTAAAGAAGAATTTCAAGTATTCTGATTCTTCACTCACTGTGAAGAAATATTAAAAAAGATTTAATAAAGATCTCTGTTTCAACTGCAGAGCTGATAATCACTATATCAGTGATTGTAAGAAGCTGAAGAAGGAAAGAAACTGAGAAGATATCTTCTCAAAGTTAACTTCTCTTCTGATAAATGTATCTGCAGAAGATAAAGAAGAGAAAGAAAAGAATTGATAATTCTTATATCTCTGAGTTCATGTTATAATCACAATGCATACTCTGAATGAGAAGATATCAGTGAGATGTCTACTTAACTTCAGAATAAATATTAACTTCATATTCTATTTCTTTTCTTTGATGAAGAATTAGAAGAAGATAGATCTGTCAGATCATGTGAAATTTACAGATGAAATGAAATATCATTATTTTAGCATAATTCAAGCAAAGTGTGTGATCACAGACTCAGAAGAAATCTTCAAGAAGAGCAGTCTGCTTCTCCATGCAGTCAATATTATAGATGAGAATGTCATTCTAGATCTTCTATGATTGAGAGAAAACAATTCTCTCATTAACTGAGTCACTCAGATGTGACAGTATCATCTCACTGATGAAGAGACAGTGATAGAGAAATCTGAAGAGTTTCATCAGAAGAATCTTGAGAAAAAGATTGAGTTGATATACTGTGTAGCAGGTGATTGAGACTTGAGAATAGATGAAGAAGTTATCATCCTTACTGCAAGATTAGCAGCAGTATCTATCATTGAAGATGAATGTACACAATGTCTCTTTACAGATTTTAAGAATATCTTTTTGAAAAAGAAAGTAGCAAAGTTTCCTGATATTAAGATGTAATATAAGATTCATCTTGAAGATGATGTAATGACACTGTACAGGCCTCTTTATAACTTATCTGTAAAGGAGTTGAATGTTCTGTGCAAATATCTTGAAGAAGTGCAATCAAAGAACTGAATATATTCATCAAAGAGTTCAGCAGAGGTGTCTATACTCTTTATGCTCAAGAAGAATGATAGACTATATCTATGTATAGACTACAGAGGCCTCAATAAGATGATGATTAAGAATTGCTATTTATTACTGTTAATTAATGAGATGATCAATTGATTATCTGAAGCAAAGATGTTCTTGAAGATTGATATACAGAATGTCTATCATAGAATCAGAGTTAATGAAGATGATGTTTGAAAAACAGCTTTTTATACTAAGTACAGTAATTTTGAATATCTTGTTTTATCTTTTGATCTTTATAATGCTTCAGTCATCTTTCAGATCTATATAAATGAGATGCTGTGAGGCCTTGTTAATGTCTTCTGCATAGTATATCTGGATGACATTTTAATCTTCTTGAAATCAGAGAAAGAACATAATATTCATGTTTGAGAAGTGTTGAGTTGCTTGAGACAGTATTAACTCTATACAAACACTGAAAAATGCTTATTCTACATGCAGAAGATTGATTTCTTAGGTTATATTATTGAGATGAATGATATTTCAATGAACAGAAGCTGAGTCTCTGCTATTGAGAACTGGCCAGCATCATGAATGTACTGTGAGATGCAGATGTTTCTAGAATTTGTAAATTTCTACAGATGATTTATCTATATATATTCATGAATTACTGCCTCTCTTATGAATCTGTTGAAGAGAAGTGTAAAAGACAGGAAAATGAGACTGTTTACTCTCACTCAAGACACTGCATAGATATTTGTGAAATTGAAACAAGCTTTCACAGATGTCATGATACTGAATTATTTTAATTCTGACTTACTCAGTCAGTGTGAGACTGATGTATCTGAGAATGAGATCTGTGAAATCTTTTCACAGTTGACACTGAAGACCTTTCAATATTGAAAGAATCAGAGAATAATCATCTCTGAAGAAACAGATAATAAATTGTCTATAAAAGAAGACTTTTTTACAGAGTCTATAAGATACTGTGAATAAAGATCAGTGACCTTCTTCTTTAAGAAGTTATCACTCACACAGAGAAGGTATGATACTCATGATCAGAAGATGTTAGTAATTGTTAAATTCTTTAAGATCTGATAATATTATCTTCAGAGTAGTAAGTACTCAGTGTAAGTTCTCACTAATCATGCAAATCTGTGTTACTTCTTGATAACAAAGAGCTTGACAGAATATCAAGTCAGATAAGTGAAGCTGCTTTCAGAGTATGATTTCTATATCTGATACTGTTCAGATCAGCTTAACCCTGCTGATATACTGTCTAGACAGCCTGATTATAATATTATTGATACAGAGAAGGATTTTATAAAAGAATCTCTGTCATCACTGCAGAAGAAGCTGGCTGCAGAGGGTTGAGATTCTCTAAAGCTCAGAAACAGCACTGAAGAGACAGCTGTGTGACTCAGTATAGAAGATGAAAGAGAATCTGAGTCTCTGTAGAAGACTGACACTGAAGATTATAAGCTTCTCATATTATATCTTACAATCATTGAATTGATAAAGAATAAAACAGTCTACAATCTTTCAATCTGACTACTTTTGAAATTTATTGATAAGTTATAGAAGAGAGATATCTCTACTACAGCTTGAATTCAAAAGTTGAAGAAGAAAGAATTCAGTTTGAACTTGAAAGAGACAGACTCTGAATGAAGTAATACTGCTAAGAAATCAAGTCACTGATAACTAGAAGAATGTAAACTTCTACTGCTGAATGATTCAGTCTTTGTCTCTTATAGCAGAGCAGTGTGCTAGAAGTTATTAAGAATTCATTATAATAATCTTCATACAGGGCACTTTGAGTTAGAGAAGACTGAGAAGCTTCTAAAATATAAATACACTTGAGACAAGCTCTGAGCAGATGTCAAAGAGTATGTTAAAACTTACAATATCTGTCAAAGAATAAAGATTCTGCAGTATAAGTAATACAGTAAGTTGATGTCACTATCTGTTTCAAAGAGTCTATGACAGAATCTATTGATGAATTTCATAGTTGATCTGCTGAAGTTGATAAGAGTTAAAGAATATAACTCAATTTTGATCATTGTTGATCACTTCATGAAGATAATCAGATATATTTCTATTTATAAAAAGATTAAAGCCTCTGAATTGACTGACCTGTTGTCACGCTCCCGGCCGCGCCAAGGCCCCGTTGCGGTTCCACACGGCCCATCGCTTCCATGCGGATGATTCCATCCATCCTGCATCCCGTCCGAACCGGTTTCCAACCGCCCTATGACATCATTCAGATATATCATAGGAAGATCCGATTGATGGGTATGAGAACCCTGCTTCTATACAAGGTCAGCAGATTACTCTTCCTTGACAATGAGGTGCTGCTGAGGTATCGCTCCGGCTATCCTCACTTATGGAATGAGAGGAGGGTATCCGCCCATTGTCTATATAGAATAGCTAGATGCTGGCTCCTCATCAAAGGAGTCAGTGATTCATTTTGCTGCTACTGGAATATACACAAGAGTTACTGTGTGCCTCATACAATCTTCTTAGTATACTAAGTACCATATCTGTGATATCCTCACAATAACCCTGTAGCCTATGAGCTCACTATTCAAGCAAGATAGTCAAGCTCACTTATACAGCTTCTCAAACAATCATCTCTACATATTGCTGCTGACTAGTCACTGCTTCAGTTTCATCACATTACAATTTGAATCACTTGACCTGATTACACATTTGAATCAGTCAAGCTCTAACAGACTGATATGGCCTCATGCACCCGCACTGAGACCAACCTGACCTCATCCTCTGAGGGAAACACTACACCATTTCCTAGAGTGTGTACACCTCTACCTCAGCAGGAATCTGAGATTCCTGAACCTGCTGCACATTTTGACATGGGCCCTTCAATCATCCTGCCACCGCTGCAGCCCCTACACACCTACATCTATTATAGAGATAGAGAGATTAAGATCAGAGATTCACTGAGATACAAGGAAAACATCTTGTCTGAATTCCACAGCTTTACTCATATTCTTGAATGGAAATTCCGCCTTAATCTGAGCTAGTATAATACTCATGAGATACAAGTAATATACACTGTCAACCTTCTTGAAGGCATCTCTGCAACTACTTGAGTCATCAAGGAGAGAAAGCTTGAGCATATCAATGCTGTCATGACTTGAGAAGAATTTAAGGACTTTCTACTGAATCAAATTAAAGATCACTGTAACTGCAGCTTCACAGCAGTGCAGTGATTTAACTTATTATATTAATAAGATGATGAAAATCCTTTCAATTTCAATGCAAGATTTGAAGAATATTGAGAGAAACTGATCAATGATTTGAATCAATTAAAAACACAGTTTTATCTTGTGAAGCTGACTCACAAGGTGTGAATAATAATATCACAATATCAGAGTTCATTAATCAATTGCACTGAGCTTGTCAACCTGGCTTTCTGAATCTATTTGAATAATCAATTCTCTGAGAAAAAGATCAATAAGATCTCTTCTAAGCAATCAATAACAGAATCTAAATGATGTCATGACAGCTTCAGTGTGAAGAAAGTAAAGAAGAATTCTAAGTGTTCTGATTCTTCACTCACTGTGAAGAAATGTTAAAAAAGATTTGATAAAGATCTCTGTTTCAACTGCAGAGCTGGTGATCACTATGCTAGTGATTATAAGAAGTCAAAGAAGAAAAGAAACTGAGAAGACATCTTCTCAAAGTTGACTTCTCTTCTGACAAATGTATTCACAGAAGATAAAGAAGAGAAAGAAAAGAATTGACAATTCTCATATCTCTGAGTTCATATTACAATCACAATGCATACTCTGAATAAGAAGATATCAGTGAGATGTCTACTCAACTTCAGAGTGAATATCAACTTCATATTCTATTTCTTTTCTTTAATGAAGAATTGAAAGAAGATAGATTTGTCAGACTATGTGAAATTTACAGATAAAACAAAATGCTACTATTTTGACATAATTCAAGCAAAGTGTGTGATCACAGACTCAGAAGAAATCTTCAAGAAGAGCAGTCTGCTTCTTCACACAGTTAACATCATAGATGAGAACATCATTCTAGATCTTCTGTGATTGAGAGAAAACAATTCTCTCATTGACTGAGTCACTCAGGTGTGATAGTACTGCCTCACTGATGAAGAGACAGTAATAGAGAAATCTGAAGAGTTTCATTGAAAGAATCTTGAGAAAAAGATTGAGTTAATATACTGTGTAGCAGGTGATTGAGACTTGAGAACAGATGAAGAAGTCATCACTCTCACTGCAAGATTAGCAGCAGTATTCATCATTGAAGATGAATGTACACAATGTCTCTTTACAGATTTTAAGAATGTCTTTTTGAAAAGAGAAGCAGTGAAGTTTCCTGATATCAAGATACAATATAAGATTTGTCTTGAAGATGATGCAACAGCACTGTACAGGTCTCTTTATAACTTGTCTGTAAAGAAGTTGAATGTTCTGTGCAAATATCTTGAAGAAGTGTAATCAAAGAACTGAATATATTCATCAAAGAGTCTGACAGGGGCGCCTATACTCTTTGTGCTCAAGAAGAATGATAGACTATGTCTATGTATAGACTACAGAGGCCTTAATAAGGTGACAGTTAAGAATTGCTATTTATTATCATTAATTAACAAGATGATTGATTGATTATCTGAAGTAAAGATGTTCTCAAAGATTGATATACAGAATGTCTATCATAGAATCAGAGTTAACAAAGACAATGTTTGAAAAACAGCTTTTTATACTAAGTACAGCAATTTTGAATATCTTGTTTTATCTTTTGATCTTTGTAATACTTCAGTCATCTTTCAGGCCTATATAAATGAGGTGCTGCAGGGCCTTGTCAACATCTCCTGCATAGTATATCTGAATGACATTTTAATCTTCTTGAAATCAGAGAAAGAATATGATACTCATGTTTGAGAAGTGTTGAGTTGCTTGAGACAGTATCAACTCTATGCAAATACTGAAAAATGCTCATTCTACATGCAGGAGATTGATTTCTTAGGTTATATTGTTAAGATGAATGGCATTTCAATGAACAGGAGTCAGGTCTCTGCCATTGAGAACTGGCTGGCGCTGCGGATGTACCGTGAGATGCAGGTATTTCTAGAATTTGTGAATTTCTACAGATGATTCATCTATGCATATTCATGAATTACTGCCCTTCTTACAGATCTGTTGAAGAAAAGTGTGAAAGACAGGAAAATGAGACTGTTTATCCTCACCCAAGACACTATGCAGGTGTTTGTGGAATTGAAACAAGCTTTCACAGATACTATGATACTGAATCATTTTAACTCTGACTTACTCAGTCAGTGTGAGACTGATGCATTTGAGAATGAAGTCTGTGAAATCTTTTCACAGTTGACATCAGAGGTCTTTCAATATTGAAAGAATCAGAGAATAATCATCTCTGAAGAAATAGATAATGAATTGTCTGTGAGAGAAGACTTTTTCACAGAGTCTACAAGATACTGTGAATGAAGATCAGTGACCTTCTTCTTCAAGAAGTTATCACTTATGCAGAGAAGGTATGATACTCATGATCAGAAGATGTTAGCAATTGTCAAATTCTTTAAGATCTGGTGACATTATCTTCAGAGTAGTAAGTACTCAGTGCAAGTTCTCACTGATCATGCAAATCTGTGTTACTTTTTAATAATAAAGAGCTTAACAGAACATTAAGCCAGGTGAGTGAAGCTGCTTTCAGAGTATGATTTCTATATCTGATATTATTCAGATCAGCTTAACCCTGCTGACACACTGTCTAGACAGCTCAATTATAATATTATTGATGCAGAGAAGGATTCTATAAAAGAATCTCTGTCATCACTGCAGAAGAAGCTGGCTGCAGGGGGTTGAGGTTCTCTAAAGCTCAGAAACAGCGCTGAAGAGGCAGCTGCACAACTCAGTATAGAAGATGAAAGAGAATCTGAGTCCTTACAGAGAACTGACACTGAAGATCATGAGCTTCTCATGTTATATCTTACAATCATTGAATTGATAAAGAACAAAACAGTCTATAATCTTTCAACTCAACTACTTTTGAAATTTATTGATAAGTTACAGAAGAGGAATATCTCTACTGCAGCTTGAATTCAAAAGTTGAAGAAGAAAGAATTCAGTTTGAACTTGAAAGAGACAGGCTCTGAGTGAGGCAGTGCTGCTAAGAAATCAAGTCACTGATAACTAGGAGAATGTGAACTTCTACTGCTGAATGATTCAGTCTTTGTCTCTCATAGCAGAACAGTGTGTCAGAAGTTATTGAGAATTCATCATAATGATCCCCATGCGGGGCACTTTGAGTTAGAGAAGACTGAGAAGCTTCTAAAATATAAATACACTTGAGACAAGCTCTGAACAGATGTCAAAGAGTATGTTGAAACTTGTGATGTCTGCTAAAGAATAAAGGTTTCATAATATAAGTAATACAGTGAGTTGACATCACTGCCTGTTTCAAAGAGCTCATGACAGAATCTATTGATGAATTTCATAGTTGATCTGCTGAAGTCAACAAGAGTCAAAGAATATGACTCAATTTTAGTCATTGTTAACTGCTTCATGAAGATGACCAGATATATCTCTACTCACAAAAAGGTTAAAGTCTCTGAATTGACTGACCTGTTTTTAGATATCATTATTCATGATCATGATGCTCTGAAATTGTTGATAATAGATTGAGAATCCCTCTTCATCAGCAAATACTGGTCGGCTTTTTACTATCATCTTATAATAAGATGTCTTCTCAGTACCGCATTTCACCCGCAGATCAATGGCCAGACTGAACACCAGAATCAGACACTAGAACAGCATCTTTAAGCATTCTGTTTATATTATCAGAATGATTGACTCAAACATCTTCTGATCACTGAATTTGTATATAACAATGCAAAGAATGCAATTTTAAAGATATCTCCTTTCTATACTTGTTATGAATATAATTCTTCATTACTCAGTGATGTCGCGGATGACATTTCAAAGAGAGAAATAGACAGTCAGAATGTCAGACAGATACAGAGAATGAAGTATCTCTCAGTGTCAGAAGTAAAAGTGAGATTGAAACTTTTGAATAAAATTCATGAGAAGGCAGTGAAAAGCATCTGCCATGTTCAGAAGTGATAGATGAAATACTATAATTAAAAATATCTTTCAATGAAGTTCTTAATAGAGAATCAAGTACTACTTTCAGCAAAGAATATCAAGATAATAAGACTGTGTAAGAAGCTCAGTGAGTGATGACTAGAATCTTTTCTGATAACAAGAGTGATGAGTAAGCAGATATATGAGTTGAAATTACTCACAGAATTGAAATCAATTCATTCTGTTTTTCACATTTTCTATTTAAAGCTTTATAAGTAATACTCTGAGGTGAAGCTGTCTTGACTGAATGATATCAAGATCAAGAGTGATACTGAATATCTTGTGAAGAAAATATTGAATAAGCAAACACATTACAGCAAGCTTCAATATCTTATTAAATAAGAAGATTATTCATCATCAGAGAATTTATGAGAACTGCTTAAGTATTTGAAAAATGCTGAGAAAGAGATTGCAATCTATAAGACAGCTAGTAGAGACTGCTCTATTACATATCAGAGATATTGAACAAGAAATACTGCTTAAGACTTCTCATTTTTCTCAAAGAGTTTTTTAGAGATGATCTCACAGTGATGAGCTGATGTCTTATAGGCTCTGTAGCACTCTTCTTCTATTTTCTCTTAAAGGATTTTTAGAAGTTTAATGAGACTATACAAGTGTAACATTTCTGAAGCAGTTAAAAGAAAAGAGATATTTGAAATTAATAAAAAGATTAATATTATTGATCTGCAGACTGCTGCTATTCTAATGAGGCTGCAGCCTGCTGAAAAAGTAAAAAGAGAGATCAGAGTCTACTTACTAATAATCACATTCTTATCAAACTCATTCTTCACTATTGAAGTCTCTGACACTGATATCTTTGTCTGCTGAGAAGTTAGCACTGCAGCACTGTAGAGAAGTATGCTACAGAAGAGCATGAGAGATGCTGAAAGTGTCAACTTATCAACTTATAAAGTATCTCAGTTATCTGCTTCAACTGAAGTGAGATTCTCTTCAATCAGTGATTGATCTTTATGATGCTTTCAATGATGATACTGACTAATCTCTTCTTAAGGCCAGTCATTCTGAGGTGTTTTTTTATCTCAGAGATTCACACTTTCACCTTCTTTTACAGATGAATAAGAAAGATCTTCTCAGTCTTGATAAAATTCATCAATACTTGAAGCTCTGAGACTCTTGCTCTGTACTGCTTAAGCATCTGAACTTCTTATCAGAGCTGACATAATGTCTTCTTATAAGATAGATAATACTTATAGAGAGACAGAAGTTGTTGTTACAAGTGCAATGAAAACAACAGAAGTGAGAGAAGAAGTGAATATATAAAATCCTTCTCTTCTTCAGCTGCTTGACACAGTGCAGACAAGTAGCAGTGCTGATCAGAGACTGCACTGAAGCCTTCTCACAGGGAGAAGATGAAGGAACTGTGAGACTCTGTGAACTCAACTCAGCAGTATTCTGAGCAGGGCTCAGATGTGCTGTGGAAGAGGAACTACAGATTGAGCTCCTCAGAGTCACTGTTCTCAGAATCAAGCTCTTCCCAGGTTCCTCTCCAAATGATCACACAGGGTCATATGCCACTGTATTGACTGGGGGGGGGGGCGGCGTTGCAATGGTGATGAGGGGGGTGAAGGATGAACTGAATACAGATACATCAGCCGGCAGAAGGGACAACACCTCACTGCAGGGCACAGCAACTTCCGCCGCAGCTGCAAGAGAAGCAGGAGAAGATGTGACAATGAAAGCAGTGCTCCCACGGCTCATTGATGCTGTCACCTTCAACCTGGCTTTCTTGACAGCCATGGAGGCCACTGCCGCACCATGAAGATGTTTATTACTCACTAGAAAATGTCAGAATAAGTCCTCTACTGTTCTTCAAGAATGATACTCTCATGCACTCACTATTACAGATGAGAGAGAGAAAAGAAAAATGTGTCATGAGAAGAAAAATCTTTCAAAAAAATCCTGTCACTACTGTTAGCTTTGCTTCTAAAATACATCACTTTTGCAGGGAATTTCATACATAGAATGAAATATATTAAGAGATCTGCAAGTCACTTGTTAACTACATTTTTTCACATTTCAAATTGATATATAAGAAACTCACTTATCATGCATTTGATTTGAATGAAAATGGAAAAAGAAAGATCTACACAGTCAGCAGAAAAACTCATCTTTGTGTCATATGCAGCACATGTGCTGTTAATTGATTGATAACTGTTACTATACAACAAAGATAATTCCTAATTCAGTAATCTTGAGAGCATAGAGACTATGCTCTTAAAGAAGAGAGTATTATCACACTTCTGACTGCATCAAGACCCTGTTACAGTTTCACACAGCTTATTACTTTCATGCAGATGATTTCATTCATTCTGCATTCTGTCTGAACTGATTTTCAATCACTCTATGACATCATTTGAATATATCATAGAAAGATCTGATTGATGAGTATGAGAACCTCACTTCTATATAAGATCAGCAGATTACTCTTTCTTGATAATGAGGTGCTGCTGAGGTATCACTCCAGCTATTCTCACTTATGAAATGAGAGAAGAATATCCGCTCATTGTCTATATAGAATAGCTAGATGCTGGCTCCTCATTAAAGAAGTCAGTGATTCATTTTACTGCTACTGAAATATACACAAGAGTTACTGTGTGTCTCATACAATCTTCTTAGTATACTAAGTACCATATCTGTGATATCCTCGCAATAACCCTGTAGTCTACAAGCTCGCTATTCAAGCAAGATAGTCAAGCCCACTCATACAGCTTCTCAAACAACCACCTCTACGTGTCGCCGCCGACTAGCCACCGCTTCGGTTCCGCCACGTTACACCTGTTTTTAGATATCATCATTTGTAATCACAGTGCTCTGAAATTGTTGATAACAGATCAAGAATTCCTCTTCATCAGCAAATACTGATCAGCTTTTTACTATTATCTTATAATAAGATATCTTCTCAGTATTGTATTTCATCTGCAGACTGATAGCCAGACTGAATGCCAGAATCAGACACTAGAACAGCATCTTTAAGTATTCTGTTCATATCATCAGAATGATTGACTTAAACATCTTCTGATCACTGAATTTATATATAACAATGCAAAGAATGCAATCTTAAAGATATCTTCTTTCTATACTTGTTATGAATATAATTCTTTGTTACTCAGTGATGTTGTGGACAACATTTCAAAGAGAGAGATAGACAGTCAGAATGTCAGACAGATACAGAGAATGAAGTATTTCTCAGTATCAGAAGTAAAAGTAAGATTAAAACTTTTAAACAAAATTCATGAGAAGATGATGAAAAGCATTTATCACACTCAGAAGTGATAGATAAAATACTATAATTAAAAACATCTTCTAATGAAGTTCTCAATAGAGAATCAAGTGCTACTTTCAGCAAAGAATATCAAGATAATGAGACTGTATAAGAAGCTCAGTGAGTGATAACTAGAATCTTTCTTAGTAATAAGAGTAGTAAGTAAGCAGATATATAAGTTGAAATTACTCACAGAATTAAAATCAATTCATTCTATTTTTCACATTTTCTATTTGAAGCTTTATAAGTAATACTCTGAGACAGAGCTGTCTCAGCTGAATGATATTGAGATTAAAAATGATACTGAATATCTTATGAAGAAAATATTGAATAAATGAATATATTACAGTAAGCTTCAATATCTTATTAAATGAAAAGAATATTCATTGTCAGAGAATTTATAAGAACTGCTTAAGTATTTGAAAAATGCTGAGAAAGAGATTGCAAGCTATAAGACAGCTAGTAAAGATTACTCTGTTACACATCAGAGATATTAAGTAAGAAATACTATTTAAAGACTTCTTATTTTTTTCAAAGAATTTTTTAGAGATGATCTCACAGTAATAAGCTGATATCTTATAGACTCTATAGCACTCTTCTTCTATTTTCTCTTAAAGAGTTTTTTAGAAGTTTAATGAGACTACACAAGTATAAAATTCCTGAAGTGATTAATAAGAAAAGAAAGAAATATTTAAAATTAATAAAAAGATTAATATTAATTGATCTGTGAGCTGCTGCTAATTTAATAAGACTGCAGCCTGTTGAAAAAGTAAAAAGAAGAAATCTCAGAGCCTACTTATCAATAATTATACTCTTATTAAACTCATTCTTCACTGTTAAAGTCTCTGACACTGATATCTTTATCTACTGAGAAGTTAGCACTGCAGCACTGCAGAAGAGCAGAAGAAATGTATAAAATATTAATTTATTAACTTATAAAGTATCTCAGTTATCTGCTTCAATTAAAGTGAGATTCTCTTTAATCAGTAATTAATCTCTATAATACTTTTAACAGCAGTACTAACTGACTTCTTCTTAGAGTCAGTTATTCTGAGATATTTTTTTATCTTGAAGATTCACACTTTCATCTTCTTTTACAGATAAGGAAGAGAGATCTTCTCAGTCTTAATAGAATCTATTAATACTTAAAGCTCTGAGACTCTTACTCTGTACTGCTTGAGTATCTAAACTTCTTATCAGAACTGATATAATATCTTTCTGTGAGATAATACTTACAGAGAGATAGAAGTCATTGTTACAGATATAATGAAAATAACAGAAGTAAGAGAAGAGATAGATATATAAAATCTCTCTCTTCTTCAGCTGCTTAGTACAGTGCAGATAAGTAGCAGTATCAGTCAGAGACTGCATCAGAGCCTTCTCACAGAGAGAAGATAAAGAAATCATAGAACTCTGCAGACTCAACTCAGCAGTATTTCAAGCAGGGCTCAGACATGCTATGAGAGAAGAACTACAGATTGAGCTTCTCAGAGTCACTGTCTCTGAAACCAAGCTCTCTCTGAGTTCCTCTCTGAATGATCACATGAGGTCATATATCACTGTATTGACTGAGAGGAGGGGCAGCGTCACAACGGTGGTGAGAAGAGCAGGGAACAGACTGGATGCAGATGCACCAGTTAGCAGAAGAGATGACATCTCACTGCAGAGCATGGCAACTTTCACTGCAGTCATAAGAGAAGCAGAAGAAGATGTGATGATGAGAGTGATGCTTCTGCAGCTCATTGACACTGTCACCTTCAATCTGGCTTTCTTGACAGTCACAGAGGCTGCTGCCACATCATGAAGACATTTATTACTCACTAGAAAATGTCAGAATAAGCTCTTGATTGTTCTTTAAGAATGATACTCTCATGCACTCACTGTTATAATTGAAGAGAGAGAAAAGAAAAATGTTTTATAAAGAGAAGAATCTTTTTAAAAAATTCTATTACTACTGTTAGCTTTGTCTCTAAAAATATATTACTTTTGCAGAGAATTCTATATATAGAATGAAATATGTTAAAAGATTTGTAAGTTACTTATTAATTATGTTTTTCATCTTTCAAATTAATATATAAGAAACTCACTTATAACATGTTTGATTTGAATGAAGATGAGAAAAGAAAGATCTATATAGTTAGTAGAAAAACTCATCTATTTCTTTATATCACATGTAATACATATACTGTCAATCAGTTAGTAATCATTGTTATACAACAAAGATAATTTCTAATCTGATAATCTTGAGAACATAGAGACTATGCTCTTAAAGAGAAGAGCATTATCACACTTCTGACTGTGTCAAGACTCTGCTGCAGTTTCACACAGCTCATTGCTTTTATATGAATGATTTCATTCATTCTACAGACTGTCTGAATCAGTTTTCAATCACTCTATGACATTATTCAGATATATCATAGAAAGATCTGATTGATAGATATAAGAACCTCACTTCTATATAAGGTCAGCAGATTACTCTTTCTTGACAATGAGGCACTGCTGAGGTATCACTCTGGCTATTCTCATCTGTGAAATAAGAGGAGAGTATTCACTCATTGTCTATATAGAATAGCTAGATGCTGGCTTCTCATCAAAGAAGCCAGCAATTTGTTTCTTTTCTTTTAGAAGAATAATATACACAAGAGTTACTGCATGTCTCATACAATCTTCTTAGTATACTAAGTATCATATCTGTGATATCCTTGCAATAACCCTGTAGCCTACAAGCTCGCTATTTAAGCAAGATAGTCAAGCTCACTCATACAGCTTCTCAAACAACTACCTCTACATGACACCGCCGACTAGCCACCGCTTCGGTTCCGCCACGTTACAGAGTTCAGTGAAATTCTCTTGATTATTTCATCAAACTTGAACTTCATAATCAGCTACTGATGTAATACAGGCTATATATAACTGTCTCATAGTCTGAAAGGATAGACCTCTCTCTGTATTTGATAGTCTGATTATGTTGTTTAATAGTCTTTCTGCCTTGACAGTTCTTTGTTGAATGTGATATTTAAAATTCAACTTGGAGTTTAATCATACTTCTAATCATTTGACATTTACACTGGGTTTAATCTCTCTATTTAAAAGAGTTAGAGATAGTTCTTTCTCATTGAGTCTAGAAAAGAAATGAATTAACTCAGTTTTATTCATATTAAATTGAATTTGATTGATATCTGCTCTAATAAAGATTTCCTTTACAGCTTCTTCAATTACTTTCAAATTCTCTTTGATAGTTTTTGAGCTGTAGACTAGACCAATATCATCCACATAACTTGGAGATCGCACTATTCTCATATTTCTATTTTTGAATAGATATGCAGTGTATATTGTAAATAAAATGAGTGAGATTGAAGATTTCTGTGGTACTTCTATTTTTATCTCAGTCTTGTCTTGTTTCATTCCATCAAAGAAGAGTTGTATAATTCTTTTAGACATAAAACAGTTAATTCATTTTATTAGAGAAAGTGGCAGTTTTAATATCTTCAATGTCTGAATTAACTTTGACTTTGAAACATGATCAAATGCTTTCTTTATATTAATAAAAACTGCAGTTGAGACCAGACCCTCATGCTTTGCTATTTGAATATCATGAACAACTGAGAGAACAGTGTCAATTGCAGAACACTGTTTTCTATCTCTCATTTATTCACTGAATAAAAGAGAATCATCTATAGAGCTTATAAAAGATAGTCAAGTAGCTATTATCTTTTCTAAAACCTTTTCTAAACAGTTCAATAGAGATATTACTCTATATGACTTAGGAATTGAAGTTTTTCTATTAGGTTTTGCAAGAATCACTCCAGTGGCTTCTCTCCAGCATTCAGAATGATATCCATTTTTCAAGAGATTGAAAAAGAGCTCAAAATATTCATTCTTTAAGTAGGAATATGTATTTTGAATAATCAAGTGATTAATTGAATCAGGACCTGCAGCAGTTTTAACAGAACTTGAGAAGATAGCTGACTCTAATTCATCTTGTGTAAGATCATAAAAAAATCATAGAAGAAGATAATGAACTTATATGAGAAATTGAAGATATTCTTGATAAGAGATTATATAGCTGCAGCTGATAATATCTTATGAAATAAATCAGTTATAATTAATTAATCTGAACTCTGAGTTCTGTATTATCTGAAACAGCGGTTCTTAATCAATGAGAACTGCTTCTGAAAAGAGAGAACTAATGTAACAGACTGCATCTGATTAATTATATAGACTATTTCATTACACTTCACAGATTTCAATTACTTCATTCTTGAATGTGTATACTTTAATTCTTAGTTATTTTTAATCATCAATTCTCAGTTATTATAAATATATACACTTCAATTCTTAGTCATTCTCAATCACTGCTCTGATTCTCAGTCATTCTCAATTATCAATTCTTAGTTACTATAAATGTGTGTATATTCTTCTGCTCTGAAGCTTCACTGTGTACACTATCATATATAAACTAGCTGTCAGAATCATGAATTTCACATTTAATCTTATTTAATCTGATCTCATACATTTCTTGATGTGAATCTCACTGAAACTGACTATTAAAAAAACATGTAAAGTGACTATATATCAGATCTTAAAATGAAATCATGACTTGAAAAAAATAAGAAAGTGATTTTATTTAGTCTTATTTAATCTCATTCTTAATATAAAGTTACTATTTTTAGACATTTTAAGATTTTTTTTAGACTATTTTTAATTTTTTAAAAAGTAACACTTTTTAATAACACTTAAATAAGATTTAAAGTTATTTAAAGCAATAAAAATAATTTAAATTGAGAAGTGAAAATCATAATCTTATTTGAAAAATGTGATAAGAGTAGACAGTAAGTCTCATTGAGACAGTATGAGATCACTATCTAATGTTAAAACTATGTAATGAAATCAGTTAAATTGATAATGAGACTATCAAAAAATCTGGTCCTGATCTCAGACACGGTCACACGGTCAGTCTAAGATTCACATATGTATATAAATATTCATCTCAATCACTGATTCTCACACTTTCTCTTTCTTTCCTTCTTTAACATTTTTATCTTTGTTAAATAAGACCTATCAATATAATACCGATCTATTCGGCGTAGGCCTCTTACAAAGTAGTTGATTATATTATTGAGATCTAGCTATTGTGTAGCCTTTTATGTGTGATGAGCATTTGCTGAGTGATTAGTGAACACCTCACTTATGCAGAAGCAGTCGGCCCGTAGAGAGGAAATCCGACAGAAAAAAAATACAGACTTTAATACAATTAATTTCATAGAAATTACAGACTGTGATTAAGATTAAAAATAAATCAATTAAATATTTTCTATTGATTCTAGCTATTTAAATCATGTCTATAAAGATATAATAAATACTTGATTGAGATTTTATTTCATTTTAAGAGTAGATGAGTAGAATAGAAATTCTCAGTGCTGAGTCTTTAATATGCTGACTTCTTGAACACTACTGTACATACATCAACACATACACATATGCACTTCAGGCCACTGAGGTTTGACAATGAAATAATTTCCTTGTTCAAAGTTCATTGTCACTGTTGTTTTGTTTTCTTGTCTTCTTCTCAGGGTCTCAAGCAGTGCCAATAATGACACATAACCTGCGCACTTTGATATATATCCATTCTATGTGGAGATAGTTCTGGCGGGGTGGTATTTTGAAAGAATACTCACTTACTGACCTTCCGGGCTTCCCTGATACTGATGTTACCATGGCTGTTGAATTGCTGTATTCTTTTAACAGTGCATCATTGTGTCTCATTCCCGCTCAAGGGTGTAAACAAGATCACTTGCTGCTACTGTTGTGGGGGTAGTAACCGCTGCAGAAAAAAAGCTGCATATCTCCCCATACTATAAACTATACTAACCCTGTCATGAAGAAGTGTGGATCCATCTTGTTTCTTCCCCAGTCTGAGACCCATTTCTTTCTTCTTTTCTTCTTTCTTTCTTCGCTCTCTTGTGCCGAAAGGCGGACTCTTCAGACAGGGAATATCTTTGTGATTGATAATGAGGACTCTCACCAATTTGCCAAGTAACTAATAGATGGGAAAAAGCAGCGGCAAAAAGCTCTCCCTCCAAATCCCTCGGTATGAAACTACCGTTGTTCTTCTACACCATCAATGAATAATAATCTCTTTGTTTGCTCTCACAGACCAGCTCATCCTTTTGAATGCCATTTTACTAGTAGCTCTCATGGCTCCGCCCATTGGGTGCTGTTGATGGTTTGTTCACCGTGCAACCGTAACGAGCTGTCCGTTTGATGCCCCATCTCAGGCAACCAGGAACCCGGCTGGCTGCGGTGTGTCTGATGCGGAAGGATTTTGCCGCCATTCAGTTTGAAGGTTTCGCCCCGGGCTGGGGCGCAGGTGAAATCCCTGCCCCGCCTAACTAATCGCATTGCGTCGCTGAACGGCCGGGGGTCGAAGTTGAAACTTTCGCGCTTGGATGACTGTTTTCCAGGAACAAGTCCTTCATTATTCGCTGAACCTCTACAGTGTGAGTGACAGAGGGCTCACGACTTTGTGTGTTCGAGGTGGCCTGGCGCATTTCGGGCGAAATTCTGGTGCGTCCACGTTTCACAATTTCAACCGGAACCAACCAGTTGTTCCCTGTCGAGGTTGCTCGTCTGGGGCAGACCGGCAGCTTATTACAATTTACCAGCCGTCTGCGGCTGTGGCACTTCTATGAAAGACCCGCTTTCGGGGGACGGGGACGGGGGGTGTTTTGTTCCCAAGGACAAAAAATGTCACTTGAAACTCTCCAGTGCTACGGAGCAAGCAAAGTCCCTGCACTCCACGCTCCATAACTCGCGATTCGCCGGTTCGTTGGGCTACTAAGCAACAAGAAGGATCATCCCCGTCATGTCCTTTATGGCTTAGCCGGCTAAGTTAAACTGCAGATCGTGGGGGCTGCGGATGGGATAAATATAGCTGGACCGGACCTCCTTATTTCTTCCCAGTCACTTTTTCTGTTTAATCATTTCTTCCTCTTCCGTTACATTGACTGCTTCTTTCTGCTTCCTCCTGCATCCACTTTCTTCCTCTATTCAATTTCTTTTTCGTCATTCACATTTAAGCAGTTCATATATCAAGAGCGCCTGGAGCACTTCTTCATTTCTCTTCATTTTCAACACTAAAAATTTTTGAGTTTTTTTCTCCCTCCATATCCTGTTCGAACGATCACTTCTTAAAAGTAATCTAGACGTGCATACACTGTCTCTGCCCACCATGACCAAGCACAGCACCCCGAATCCATTTTTAAAGCTTGCAATCGCAGCTTCCTTGATCACCGCAGCTTTCTCAACTCCTTTAGATCCCTCCAGGCTTGTGCCCAGAGGTGATACGACAAACGTTCAAACCACTGCAGCTAAGCAGCTTGATCTCGGGGGTGCCTTTGGCGGTTCAATTGAAGGTGCCTCCGTCAATAAGGCTGGCGATGTATTTGCGGTGGACTTCAGCGGAAAGGGCGCAACGACGACACCTACTTCCTTCGGCTTCTTTCACCAGGCAGATGATGGAGTGAGCGACGTTGCCGGTCAAGATCCTATAGTTATTGCCAAAGGGGCAAAGGATACCTTCCTTGCCGGCTCGCGATTTGTTAAGAAAGGGAAAAAAGTACTTCTAGCAGGTTGGTATCTCCTTTGATTAGCTATATCTTCCCTCGCCATTCATTCTCGATATATCTACAAATTCCTGTCACATGTAGTTTCCATTCCAGTAATGCTAAGGCACCATTGTCATTTTAGATGCCCAGAACAAACGCGTTATGTCCGTGGACGTCGCAACCAAGAAGGTCTCCGTCTTTTGTGAAAACGCTGGGATGCTCCAACCCAATGACATTGCCGTTTCCACCAAAAGAGACTGCTTGATTTACCTCTCCGGCCAAAAGTACGAGACGGATTCCATTGCCGGCGAGCATGGTGATCTCTGGATGTGTGATGGCAAGAAAGCAACTCAGTTTAGCCCTGCAATCCTCAAGAAGGCGGACATCCATCGCACAAACGGCATCGAAGTGGACCCCAAGGGCAAATTCCTCTATCTCACTTCCGCCGCAAACGTCAAGGGTGAAGTCGTTAACCTCAAAGTCTTCAAGTTCGCCTTGGACAAGAAGACAGGTGCAATACTCGAACAGGACCCAGTCGTCTTCCACGACTTCAGTCATGCAGAGAAAGGTACAGATCTCGATGGCATGCGCACAGATGTTGATGGCAACCTTTACGTTTCGCTCAACGCCGTGGGCAAAATCGCCAAGCTTGACCCCAGCGGCAAGCTTCTACAATACATCACCACCCCCGGTGTCAAGGGACCCAGCAATCTGGAGCTCGGTGGGGAGGACGGCAAGACTCTGTTCGCTGTTGGCAGATGTGAGAATGACCAGAAGGCTGGCTGTGCTGCCTCTATTGGTGTTGATAAACCTGGTAGAGCATTCGCTTCGCTTAACGCCTGACTGGCCGACAATAATGGAGCATCTCACTCTCTCTCACCACTGTCACCAACACCTTTGATTTCTCTCCTTTCTTTTTGTTTGAGCATTACGATTGTTTTCGCATGAATGACGTTTTCCTTTTAGACTCAATGGTCCTTTGCCTTTTTTCTTTTCTCTTCCCTTGTTCGCATTGTTTATGTGCTTATTCTTTGGTGCTGCTGCCCTGATCAAGAGTGGCTGGGGAAATAAATGAATTAAAAAGGGATCGGAGCATTTTAGAATATTCATTATCGAAATAAAAATCATTTTAATTAGTATCGTAACAACTGGGACACCATCTGGAGACTTTGTAGATTTGTCTTGGCAGTCGTATAACCTTCTATCCTGAGTCACGTGAATGATTTCCGACGTCACAATGTCAACCTCAAATGTTAGAGGATGGAAATGTAGATACCTATAATTGGCCTGGGTTTGGTGGATGGGCGATATCCAAGGCCTGGTAGCGGCATGTTGAAGTTCATAGCAGCCTCCATCCGGTCTGGTCGTGGTGGTGGTGCTATTACTCCCGTTTCATACAACCTAACCCGACTGTTCTCTTTAGCCAAATGTCCGCCGAAAAATACAGGGCCGGACAAAGCCTCGATAGGATTGCAGAATGGGATGTTAAGGCGAGAAGGAGACTGGTCATCTTCTTCCGTAGCATGTCCGCCAATCGTTAGCATTAGTAACGCGACCTTCTACCGCGAATATCCCACTCAGGTTTCCCCTAAGAAGGACAATCCTCCCTTATACCCTAACCTGACCTTTTCTCTTAAGTCACACATTCCAGCGAAAGCCGGAGAGCATCCTTCCTTGGACCATTGTGCCGTCATAGGCTCATCAGCCAAGTCGACCTTCCTTGACATTCTTCGCGGTCGGTATATCTGCATCCCACCAACTGCACGCTCATTCCCGTACCTGTTAGCGCTTGGAGCAGCGCGGGCGAAAGGTTCAAGTTCTTCTTCGCATGACGCGGCTCATGCGATCCAGTATGTTGGGTTCAAAGGTGACCAAAAACAAAGTGCTGGGGGTATTCGTGGTACATACATGAGCGCGAGATATGAAAGTAGAAGGGAGGAGACGGATTTCACGCTTCTACAGTATCTGAAGGATCAGATGTCCCTGAACCCACTAGTGCAGGAACTACTAGGCGATGGAAGCATTAACCCTTCGGAAAGTGATGAGCATCTAAATAAGATCATACGAGATTTCCAGTTGCAGGATCTTCTTGATATGCCAGTGGCCAACTTAAGTAATGGGCAAACAAGGCGGGCTAGGATTGCAAGAGCCCTTCTTATGAAGCCAGAAGTTCTTCTTCTGGATGAGCCTTTCAGTGAGTTCTTTACAATTATTTCCCCAGACTGCTACTTGGGAAATCCTATCGGAAACTTTAAGCCAATGCTCATCATTTACAGTGGGCCTGGATCGATCAACTGTCCCGATTTTATCCCACCTGCTCCGTCAGACTACCTTAAGTGGAACTCCCTGTATTGTTCTAGCTTTAAGGCCACAGGATCCAATTCCGGAATGGGTTTCTCAGATAGTCCTCTTGGGGCCGGATAATACCATTGCCCTTCAAGGCCCTCGTGATGAGGTATTCCGCACTCTCGAATTGTGGCAGGCTGTGGCCTCTCGAGGAGGTAAATCTACTCTCGTGAAAGGAAGCGGCGATGATAATTCTGGAATTTCTAGAAGTAGCCTGGCGTGTCCAGGGCGGCTTGAATTGATACCCCGCAACACCGATGAGGAACAAAGTTACCGCCTCCTGTCGCTTTCGCGGCGAAGGGAATATGATAGGTTAGAGCAGCTACGTGAAAGTGGCCAATTTGATGACTTTGCCAACATTCTACATGAAATGGGATTGCTGCATAAACAGGCTGAAAGAGTGGACAAAAAAATAACACCGTTAGGGGAGCCAATCGTGGAGATGGATGGTGTTCATGTCAAATATGGCGATAAAGTGGTATTGGGCGGCTGGACTCAAGCAGCCGACGGTCGCACGACAAAGGAAGGGCTATCCTGGAAGGTTCATCGCGGGCAGCGGTGGGGTGTGTTTGGCTCGAACGGCTCGGGGAAAACGACCCTCATATCCCTCATCACCTCGGACCACCCGCAAACATACTCGCAACCTATCAAACTATTTGGCCGCTCTCGTTTACCCGAACCCGGAAAGCCAGGGATATCAATTTTTAATTTACAGTCTCGCATAGGCCATTCGTCGCCGGAAATCCACGCCTTCTTCCCTCGACACCTTTCCATCCGCTCTTCTATCGTATCAGCCTGGGCGGAGACTTTCCTCTCGAAGCCAAATCTTACCCCGGAACGCGCCATGGATGTAGACTCGGCCTTGCGATTTTTCGAAGCAGATCTTAACCCCGACTTCGCCCCCAGGAGCGATCAAATACAAACAACCACCTCCTGGGCTGATTCCCTCCCCTTCTCTTCCCTCACCCCCGCTCAACAGCGCCTCACTCTCTTCCTACGTGCCCTCATCCACAAACCAGACCTGATAATCCTCGACGAAGCCTTCTCCAGCATGCAGTCCTCCCTACGTGACAAATGTCTCCACTTTCTGGAAGTCGGCGAGCAGCAGCACATGCCCAGCAGCGGCACCAGGAGAACACCTAACTACACGAAAGTGTGGCATTTGCCCCCGCCACCGTCCTCGTCGGGCCCGAAAATATGCCACACCGGCATCGCTGACCACCAAGCCCTGATCGTCATCAGTCATGTCAAAGAGGAGGTGCCCGATATCGTGGGTCAGTGGATGCGCCTGCCGACTCCCGCTAGGACGACGGACGAGCCGGGGTTGGTGATGGATTTTCAGATTGGTCAGTTGGCTGCTCAAGAATCCGTGGCGGTGGATGCGTGGGAGATGATTTGGAACCTTACGGCTGAGGGAAAGGGCGGGTTCGTTGAGGGAGATGAAAGAGAAGTGAGGTGTTGTGCGTGATGTGGTTTAACGTTGGTTTCTGTTGACCTTTTTGATTCATTTCTATGATTTCAATTTTATAGATGTTTTATATCCGCTATGAGTGGGTTAGCGATGGATAGGATATATTTTGTACATGTACATGTACATTACATATAGTAGGTGTAGTTTGATTGCTACAGAACTTAGATTAAATATAGATAATCCATAGATCACATTTAGAACATAACTTTGGCGGCAACTACTGGAATCCTTTTGATAGGTCTACCCTGTGGAGACTAACAAGCTAGACACAATAGACAACAGGACAATATATAGCGGATATCAAAGGAATACGGAATGAAATAGGGGTATGGTGCAGATGTAATATAGGATAAATCCTTAATTCAAAATGGACTCTGCGTCCGTTGAAGAAATGCCAGCTTTCCTCCTCATCTTGTGTTGCTATACCTAAAAACAAGAAAATATCAAAAAGAATTTGGAGCTAAAAAGCGTAGCAAGTGGGTCGTAAAAACTAAAATCATCAAGGAAAATAGTCCCATCCTACCATGAGAAAAGAGGGGAATTGTTTTCAAATAAGGCTGGTAGAACCCCAGTTGATATCCATCTTCAACACTGGCTGACTCAACCAACACCAACTGGTCAAGGAGTCGATGGCCTCTCGCCTACTGTGCTCGGGGCAGTGTTCACGGCTGTGCTGGTGGGTAACCCCTTCCCAACTAAATCCTTAAAATCAACCCCAACCTCCAGTAGCAACGCGGCGTGCTCATGTACTGTCTCCATACATCCTTGCCATACTGAGTTCTCAGGCTCCACACTGCTCAATTGTCGGACAAGAATTGCGTTGAAGCCGTCTAAGTGCTCTTTGGCCCATTTTATGCATGCGCTAGTCATGGGCGCCGGGAAGCACTGCTGGTAGATGGCAATGGTGTTTTTTATCAGTGTGAAATAGACGTAGGATACTTGGAAGATGTACAGTCGTAGGTCGCCTTCGAAAACGCATTGACTGGTTATATAAATTAGTTCCAAGGGCCTTTTTGGGGGGTTTTTGTTTGAGGGAGAGGATAGGAGAGTAGAGGAGGTGTGGGCAAAATACCGTGCGCGCTTTGTGATTACTTCCGTCCTGGTGTGTAAGAAGGCTTCGCGTGCTCTATCGTCGAAGCCTAGGCGGGAAAGCCAGGAAATGTTTGTCTTGGTCGCTGCAAGGAATGAATGAGTGTCCACCAAGGTACGGAGGATGGTCTCCGCCAGTTTTGTGGCACGTTCATCGATCTTTGACAGGATGATATCCTGGGCTGTTACGTTCCCCTTGATACTCTTTGCGAGTTTTCGCAGCTGTTCAACCCGCGACACTGCATTGTCGAAGCGTTGCAGGGCGGCATCAATATCAAGCTCGTCCAATTGACCTTCTACCCATCTCATATTTTGCTGCTTCCCGTCGACATCGATGAGTACATCGAGTTTATCGCGGGACGCGGTCCTACTATCGAAAATTTGAGAGCGTCTTGATAATGATAAGCGGTTGGTTGAAGGGTCGGGAGTCTTAGAACTGGATTCAGTTTCTGTCCGCATGAGCTTCCGTAAATCCTCGAGCGTTTTGCGAAATGTCATTAAGAGATCAACTTTGGCATTGCCCTCCCGTTTGTCGCTTCGATAGGTGAACGACTTCTGGCTATATCGGATATTAATAGCATTTGGAACTCCTCGCTCCTCGACATGTTGGTTCATTCCATTTGCGTCTAGATTAGTAGCGAGGTCTATCATATCGATATCCTGCAACGGCCAGCACTCCTCTGCAACTAATTTTGTGGGGGCAGGGCCCTTCATATTCTGACTATTCGGATCTACTCTTTTCCGTTTCTTCGCAGCCACGAGGAGATGGTCGTTGAGGAGGAAAATATGAACGGGCCGTTTAGGTTTCCACGTTGCAGAATCAAGCTCAACCCATTGGCCGCTTTCAAGTACGATATGGCGACCGGGGATAGCGGGTAAGAATTTCTGAGATCGCTCGACGGTCTTCCACAGTGTTTGGAGCTGAACATTCCACATGCTTTCGAGATTAGCAACGGAGCTACGATTTGGATGCCGTTTGACGGTCGAAGGCTCATCGAAGCCTGTGGCCATGGCACTGGAGCCATTTGTTGCGCTCGCCTGGCCTAGGGCCGTAGTGAGTTCCGACATGAGACCACGAAGCGTGATCATCTCTGCCTTAAGTTTTTCAGCTTCCTTGCTGATCTTGATGAACTGGGTGCGGTTCCTGTAGACATTTTGTTGTAGATCTGTGGAAGTTCTGTTCTTGAGTTTCCGTAGCTGAGCCTGATACGCGCGAATGTCTTCTTCAGAAGCATTTGCCAACAGAGTCGTGACATCTGATTCAAGAGGTTTTAGAGTTTGAAATGATGAACAACAAATATATATAGAGAGATATGTGTAGGCACTTTCCAGGGAGACGTACATTTTTCTACTGGCAGACTAGGGTTTTTCAACGCACTAAGCTCAACGCGGAGGGGTTGGCCAGAGGCTTCCGGCCCAATGCCAGCTGCGGATGCTTTCTGCGATCTGAACGCATCGACACCAGATGGCAGACTGGGAACATTCGGGATATCGAAATTGAGTTGCTGGTTGTATCGAGAGGAATATCGCCGCTTGACGAGGTCCGAGGTGGCACCGCTTGGTTGTGTTTTTCGAGGAGGGGAGGAATCTGCAACGCCAGATTTACCAGACGCAGTAGAGGGAATAGAAACAGCAGCGATCGCAGCGGGAGGAGGCCTATTGCTGCTACTTGCGGTCGAGCGAGGGTCGGAGATGGGCTGGGGAGCGCTAATCTGAGGCCTTCTGGATCCCTTGCTCCGGAGAGTCAAACCCCTTCCGTCCATATTTTCGTGTCAGGAATGGCGACAACGGCTGCAATCAGACAGGCTATATGTCAATGCCTGCTATACGCAGGTGTCGCAGTTCTGTATGGCGCAGGTTTTGGCTGTCGAGTCCTTCTGACGAAGTCCTTGCATTTGACTCCTTAATAAGCGGTGGACCAAGCTTGGCTTAGTCATGCACGGCTCAAGCTCCCAAAAAATTTGCCCGATCCAAGATTCAACGCGGATACTATTTACAAGAAAAAGATCAAGAAACAGCAAACCACCGCTCCGGGACCCAGATTGGAACACCTGAGAACGAACAACTCTCTTTGTACTGCTATTTAACTTATCCAGCTACTAGACTGTCAATTCTTGCGAACAATTAGAGGTTGCGACCAGTGCCATTCCAACTTCTTCCTTGTCCCACGCAGCCCTTTCCATCTCGGCCATCCAGTCTACGCAGACTGGGTATATTTAAAGGAGAACACATACCATTTCGAATTCGAATATGAAGACGACGACTATAGTTGCTGCCTCTGCAGGCACCATTGTGACCGGTCTTCTGGGTACGTGAACTATGCATCTCAGTCTTGTTCCGTTCAAATGATTTTCCTTAGTATAAGCAAGCCACTCATATTTCCCTGCTACAGCATATGCTATCTACTTCGACTACAAGCGGCATTCCGACGCTGAATTCCGAAGGAATCTGAAAAGAGACAACCGACGACTAGCCAGGGCAGTCCGCGAAGAATCAGCGGCTCAAGGCGCGCGTCAAATAGCCGAGATTAAACAAGCCGTCGCGGAAGCGAAGGCGGAGGGCTTCCCTACCGACCCTGATGACAAGGAGAGATTCTTCATGGGCCAGATTTCAAGGGGCGAGCAATTAGCTGCGGATGGTATGCCTTTTCTACGTGCTCTAACTAGCCTTTTAAGCCTGTTGCTATTGTTTCTCACTAACGGTATCTTGTTACAATTTAGGATCAAGTAACTTTGAAGCAGCCCTTGCATTCTACAAGGCTCTCAAAGTCTACCCACAACCGAAGGACCTGATCGCCATCTATGACACCACGGTTCCCAAGGACGTGCTGGAGATCCTGGCTGAGATGGTGGGCCAGGATACCACACTTCAACTGGGCTCGTTTACAGGTGGAAGCACAGCCGGGAGCAGCAGCGGAGGAGCGGACCAGCACGGGGTAGAATAAAAAGTCGACAAATTTCAACAAACAAATCGATAATCGACAAAAATCAACAAATGGAATAATTGATAACCTTGGATAAACAATTATATGTGCCGAACCAAAACGGTTGTCTCCGTCCTCACCGTGTTTTGTCCTTTGGTCCGCATTTTCCGCATTGATGATGGGCTTTTAATTGGAACTCATGACCTTTTTTCCTTGGTGTTGTTTCTTTTGTCACTCCCCCATGATTCCTCTCTCTCCCCCCTATATATTGTATATTTATTTCCCCTTGAATTGCTCTATTCACCGTACACTTCCTCCCCACATCAACTTGCTCAGTCAACATGGTACTTTTGCATCTGGCAGCGGTTATTGGAGCGCGAGCTGAGGTGTTCTCCGTTTAATTTATCGGGCGGGGTACCACCACTACTATCCTATCTCTTGCTGGATCGCCATGGTCACGTTTTCTTTTCTTTTCTTTTTTTTTCCCTCATTTATCATTTTTTTCGTCTTGCTTCGTTCTCTTCTAGTTCCATCGCTCTCGAACTATGGAAAGGTTGTTTGGATGCATGTACATGTACTTTTATTATGATAGTATCCATTTATTTTTAGACGCATGGATATGAGGAGGGCAAGTCTGTTTTCTTTTATACTGGATGCCCTAATAAAAAAGCATCATTGTACAGGCTTTAGTAGCGTGAAACATTCGCTAATCAGTTTGCTAGGTGATGGAATGGAACCGACCGGCAAGTTTCGATCACGGAACAGTCGACAGTTTTCTTCTACTCCTATTGAACGGTAGGAATTAGCTTAAAAACAAGTCCAACAACAACCCACCATAGGTGTAATCCGGATATGATGAATTGTAAATACTCAGGATGGAGGGCGAAGAACTTAAATAATAATAATAAGAGAAGAGCGGCATCTCACTCTCAACCTGAAACATGTCCTATTGTGATAGCGTCGAAATAAGCCAAGGTCCAAGCCGGGCAGATGATTGATGGGCCAATTGATGGCCATTAGTGGCTGCGTCTGATTTGATCGCTCAAACAGGTGTCTTACCACTTGTACTCCGTCTTCTGTATAATATATAATATTAAAAGGGAGGGACAGGAAGGGGAAGGGGAAGGGGTTGCTTTGTTTGCTTGGGTTGTAACTATTTTATATCGGAGCACAACTTTCTTTCAACCTCATTTTTTCCCGTTTCGTCTCTTTCTCTTCTTCTTCTTCTTTTCAACCTCACTCGCTCTCTATCCCCCCTTTTTTTTCTTTTTTTCTTTTTTTTTTTTTTTGATTGGTTTAATTCCCTTACCAAATACCCCTCTACATTGCCCACGACAGCAACAATTGTCGATTTTCCCCTGCTCCCAGCATGACTCTCGTATGTGATTGATTTGATTGAGTGATTGTCATAGAAAATAAAAAACCCGCTTTTCTCCCTATCATCGGCTAACCAAGTTTTCATCCTTGTAGATCCGCGTCTTTACGGCGCTCTTTGCCCTGCTGGCCTCCACTGTCGTTGCTGTCACGCCCATCGAAGTCGAGGGTTCGCAGTTTGTCAACTCCAAATCGAACAAGCGCTTCCAGATCATCGGGGTCGAGTACGTCGCTTGCAATCTATATACCCCGTCAAGTTACCACTATCTACCTCTTCGTGGACAGCCGCTGACGACACTCCCACAGTTACCAGCCAGGCGGGTCCGCTGGTTACGACGAGGAGAGCGGAGAAGATCCCCTCACTGATGCCGATATCTGCTTGCGTGATGCTGCTCTCCTCCAACGGTTGGGTGTATGTTAATATTGGAGTCGCATTTCTCTTCATGCATATAGCTTCACTAACGCAGCACAGGCCAACACTATTCGTATCTACAACCTCAACCCCAAATCCAACCATGATCTTTGCGTCTCCATCTTCAATGCTGCCGGTATCTACTTGATCCTCGATGTCAACTCGCCCATTGCCCACCAGAGCTTGAACCGCGCCGATCCCAGATCCACCTACCACAAGGGATACATGGAACGTGTCTTTGGTATCATCGAGGCTTTCAAGGACTATCCAAACACTCTAGCTTTCTTCGGCGGGAATGAAGTCATCAACGAAGAAGCCGTGAAGGAGGTTCCTGCCTACATTCGGGTAAGTTTGTATAGCTCCCGCCGTTACCACAGTTGCATGCGAAAGTTTATCTGTGCCGTTGTTTTCTCACACTCGCGCGATTTTCCAGGCCGTCCAACGTGATATGAAACAGTACATTGCCAACCATTCTCCTCGTCAAATCCCCGTTGGCTACTCTGCCGCCGATATTCGCGAGATTTTAGAGGACACCTGGGCTTACATGGCCTGTGAGATCGAAGACTCACCTGAATCCCGCTCCGACTTCTTCGGCCTCAACTCCTATTCCTGGTGCGGCAACGCTACGTACACCAGCAGTGGCTATGACAAGCTCGTCGAAAGGTTCTCTGAGACTTCCCTCCCCGTTTTCTTCTCCGAGTATGGCTGCAACGAAGTCCGTCCCCGCATTTTCACCGAGGTCGGCGCTCTCTACGGACCGGAAATGACCAAGGCTTTGGGCGGTGGTCTAGTTTATGAATACTCCCAGGAGAAGAACAACTACGGCCTCGTTGAGTTGAACGACAACAAGACCGCTACCCTCCGCGTCGACTACGGCAACCTGATGGAACAATACAGCCAAATCGACATCCCTCTCCTCGAATCCCTCGACCCGGCCGCCACTAGCGCCAAGCCCCCCAAGTGCTCCTCCGGTCTCATCAAGGACACCAAATACTTCGAGGACGACTTCAAAATCCCAGAGGCACCTGAGAGCGTCCCTGAGATGATTAAGAACGGCATCCGCAATCCGACTAAGGGCAAGCTTGTCGAGGTCACAGACACCAAGCCGAAATATGAGGTCTATGACAAGGAAGGCCGTGTGCTGGACGGTCTAGAGATTAAGAAGCTCGAAGATTTTCAGTCCAACCTTCCCGGTGAGAATACCTCTGGTGTGCCCGGTGCCTCGACAAATAACAAGAAGGCTGCTGCCAACACCGTGTCCAGCTCTAATGCTCTCTCCCTCGCCGCTGTTCTGGCTGGGTTGACTCTGCTGATGGTGTAGAGAAACTCAGAATGTATCTGTTAAAGTTCTCTCTTACTATTTCCCACGCGATTTCCAGCTGCTATATTAGTTAATTCAGCGCATCTTTCTTTGAAAAACTTTACTCTTCTCATCGCGTATACCCGCAATTTATTTCTTTCCTTGTATTATCTTGTTGAACCCCCGGTACGGTGGTTGTGATTGGCGAAATGGATTGTTTCAAGGTAGAACAAACCGCCCCCAAAAAACCAATCACGTCATGTTTAACCCCTCCTATTGCACAACGTACCCTGAAATGTTTTCTTTGGGCGCCTGTGTCAGTATGAGATATCAATTTTAATCTCTTATCACCGCCACCTCCTCCTCGTGAGATATAGCCCGCATCGCAGTTAGCGCCCCCGTCGTTTGCTCTCGTCTGTGGAATATGGGCTGACGTTCCCCTGTAAACCCCTCGTGGCGAAACATAAATACAGATCAAATGAACGCAAGGATGTTCTCACAGATTAATGTTTCACTGTTTGTTTGATGTTGCCACTGCCTCGCACTTACCCCCTGAACTTGCAATACATAGAGCAGAGATCAATAACGCCTGTCCTGCAGCTTAGGAGGTTGGAAGATACAGACGAGATTTGAGCCAATAGAGAGGAAGTGAAAAGTGTAATTCAGCTACAAGAAAGTGAGGTTTCTAAGATTATTGAATCAGAAAACAAGCGTAGCGTTTTCTTTGGTATCGAATGAAAGAGAAAAACATAAAAGTCAAGGAATCAGCTGGGATACAATATCACAAAACAACAAACACAGCACACAACTCGAATGGACAAAACTTAAACAAGAAACACAAATCTAACCACGACCGCACTCTACTAAGCTGCTTTTCCCTTCCCCTTCCGAATGCTAAGTAAAGACGCTCCACCAAGCGCCGGATACTCATCCCCATCCTCCATACCCCCTGTAGGAGGTTTAACATCCTCTGCTCTCCGGCTCACTTCCTCCACCAGACTAATTTGTAACGCATATTCCAGGTCATCGATTTCTTGCTTCATATTGCGTTCTACACCATTCGACAAACTCCCTCTGGATACGTCTTCCAACTTGAACGGACGGTCTGTTGCCGATGAAGATGAAGACCCGTCTAGAAGGCTAAGGCGGATGGCTTCCGCGATATCTGGATCTAACTCCTCGGTAACAGTGTCGAGAGTCGAGGACGAGCAGGTTGTAGATGCTAACTCGTGTGTAATAGAAATATCGTTGGGGGATATAGTTTCGCTCGAAGAACTACCTCCAGCACTACTTTCACTACCCCGTCTTTTGCGTTCGTCACTTGTATACGATTCCTCGCTTAGCATCTGCGCGTAGGCAAATAGTTCCTCTTCGCTAGCATCAGGCCCAAGAAGATCTATTCCGAACCGACCGCTTAGAAGTTCTCTTTCCTTTTGATCAGCTTTCTTTTGTCGCTCTAGTTCGTATCTTTCGTTCTCAATATAGTCCTGCAGTGCACCTCGGCCACTGTTACTGAATCGCTGGGTACCTGGAGAGCTATTACATACTCGGTGAGAACGACGTAGTCGACGCTTGTTGTTTTTGTATTGGTCGGCTGCGGATGAACTATACGACCAGTACCGAAGATGACTACCAAGGGATACAATGCCTCTTAGTACTGTTGGATCAGGGTCTAGGCAAATAGCACCAGCTGCAATATAGTTGTGCCCTACCCCTGCGGCGGAAGTCTCTGCTTGCAGCAGACGACGGCGAGCTCTCGTTGAGCAGCGAGAGTGTAGCGTTCGAATAGGCTGCGTGGACGATGCGAGTGGGTCCCATGCCTGAACTAGTCCATCACTTCCACCATGAACGAGGTAGAGAGAAGTCAAGGCGACACAGGACACCTGTGGGGAATCTGTGTGAATAATTCGAAGCGGCGAGACCTTATTTGTGATATCCGGCGTCTGAGAAGCGGCTGCTCTTATATCCCAAACATAAACTGAGCCTGCGGCGGTACCAACGGCCATGTAAGCAGCCCGTTTTCCCGGAATATCCGCGGGGGACGATAGATTTTGGCTCATCGAAGATAAGGGAGAAGACAATTGAGAGGATGTGGTGGATCCTCCACTCATTCCAATTAATGGGTCTTCCCATGTAGTCAACTGTGCAAACGTCGACGCGTCTAAAGCGCTGGCAGTGATTCGAGGCGGCTTTTGTTCTTCGAAAACAAAATCAGATACTCGCCATTCAATCGCAAGGGAAGAGTCCGTTTCTGCTTGCCGCTCGGAACTTAGGGAGGGCGGAGTGGTCGACGATGCTGAGCCGGAGCCAAGGGTGCCCCTGAAAATCGACCGGCTTGCAGTCGCTAATATTGAAGGGTAGGCCTCGTCAGAAGACTGAGGAATAGGAACATGCACCTTCTGCCGCATGAATCTTCGGATCGAGCTAGTCTGGTGCTCGCCGAAGCCGCAGTTAAAGACGATAACGGACTCTCCGGCGTTATGATAATTGTCCCCAGCGAAATCAACCTCCAACTTTCGTCTCATGTCCCAACCATCACAGACATTTCTAAAATGTTTTGGTTTAAAAGCAAGAAATTTCTCTATCTCTACGGTTTCCGCAGAAATCTGGTCTTTGGTAAGGCCCATAGAGTTTGACGAGGACCTTGGACTGTAGCTCCCATCCACCAAAAGTCTATTAAAAGGGTCAGGTCGAGCAACCCGCCGAGTGGCTTCTATAAGTTCCCAGCGCACGGTTCTTCCAGTCTCCCAAGCAACCCTGTCGAGCTCCTCAACGCTTGGTTTGGGTGTCAACTCCACTTGATGAGGAATATCTGTCAGGTAGAACACTTCACCTACTGAGTTCAAAACGACAGCCCAAACGCGTTGGTGCGAGCGACGTTTAGCAGAGTAATTTTCGTCGACCCTAATCGCAATTATAGGAATCCCTGGACACAGGGCCCATTTTGCGGTTACCTGGCCACGTTCAAAGCGTTGGTCGTATGAAGGGTTAGGTCCCAATGCATATGCAGTAAGTATGCCCAAGGATGAGCCGCAGAGAATACCACATAGACCATTCGTCATCTTGAGTATCTGAGGAGATTTGGCTATCCAGACAGAACAGATTGCAGTTCCGATGCTGCTTATGCTAGGGATACCAAGATGAGGCCGAGAGGTGGTGTCCGCCCCAGGCAAAAAACGACCATGCTTTTCACTCGAGGACAAATAATAGGTTCTCCCTTGAGGACAAGCTTCTCCATAAACCATGCCGTAGGGCTGGCTCACATCCATAACATTGGGCATACCCACCATATTGCCCGGACCTAGACCCCATTCAGCCTCACCGGGGAAAATATCGGAAAAATGTTTAAACATCTGTGGGAAGGAGAGACCCCAAGTGCCGGTGCCAGTTTTGCCAGAGGTAGGGTCGCTCATCGAAGCAACTCCCTGTTCGGCAGCGCCATGAATAAACAGAGGTGGTTTGTTGCCCAATGGCGAACCAAAAGTTCCGTCAATATGAGTAATTGGGTAGACGCACATCGAGCTGTATGTGACCACAGCCCTTGCAGTATGCGCAGATTGATGTCTGGTGGAGCCGCGCGGCGAAGGGGGCTCGGGTTCTGCAGGCTTACCCCGGGACAGTGCCCGTAGCAGTCTGGTTCGCAGAATGTATTCATTTCGCCAGGATGCCAGTGCCGTCAATCTGGAAAAGGTACGCCTCTGCGCAAGGATAAGTTCGTAGTCTTCTGTATGCGTGTCTTCCCTCAGGCTTGCGGGACCCCGAAAATAGCGAGAAAATGCGATTCTCCAGGCATGAGGAGTGGTCACGAGGCTATAAAAGCGGCGACTAACAAGGCTCATTGATGAGAGCGACGAAGGGGGCAAGTGAGACAGGATATGTGTCAAAACCTCTGTATATAAATAAATTAGCATCACGCAATGTTAGTTTCACACATTGTTTCAGTGTATTATGTGTACCATTAGGGAAGTCCTCGAGTGGTTGGTGAGAGAGTCTATTGACATTTGAAGCGGCGATTTCGAACCCGGAATCCTTAGCTTCCTTTGGGGAAGGAGTTAAAGAGTTTTCATTGTTACTGATGCGATCCACAGGGAACGTGGTGTTCAGTACAGGGTCAAGTGGTGATGGAGGTGGTGAGACCTCATCAGCCGCGTTTACAGAGCATTCGCGCACTCCATCCCTACTATTCTCCGGAGAGAAATAGCACGGAAGGTGCTCATCATGCTGCTGCTGGAGTCCATGTTGGGTAGAAGTGATCGGGTAGGGGGAAAACCGTGTATCGCGAGTTTCTGGATGAGAAGCTTGGGAGGGCTCTGGGTGCATAAAAAGTTGGAAAGGGAAAAGGAGAAAGTGAAGGACTGAGCCAGAGAGATTCCGGGTCAGTCTAGAGCAATGCGCGCGAGGAAATAGACCTTGATGGTGTGCTTAAATGCTGCTGCTAATCAGGCTTGATGTTTGAAGTTGAAGGGATGGAATATCAAGGGGAAAAAAGAGCGATCGGTGTGCGGCTCCGCGGGTTGGTGATGAGTAAGCTAAGAGCCGTAACTATGTCACATGACTACACGTCGGCCACGCGATGCAAAGACGTGACAATCAGAAGAGTGGAAGTTCTCTCTAGAAACCTTGGAACATAATAAATAGCACCTAATTCGGTATCAAGTTTGTTACCTAGGTAGGGGATGCATCATCGTTGCGTATCTTGAGCCCCATGCTCGATATGGCTGAATGAACTGAACCACCACCCACCCCCCCAGCTAGATTTTGTCCCAAGTGCCCTGTTGCCTTCCGGAATAAATGCAACACATACAACTATAGAGAGGCTGATAACAGTTTGTTCCAACACACATCCATAAGATTTATTCTTTGGAGGGATCCAATAGACCACTAATTTTGTCCAGATTACCTTCTCTACAATGCCCTCCCTCACAGGTAAGACAATCAGCGTTGAGTATTGGGCCTGTCACGACCAGAGAGCTAACAGAATCCCCAAAACTAGCCGCGGATACTATTCGTATTCTAGTCTCAACAGACAACCATGTCGGGTACAATGAGCGTGACCCAGTTCGCGGGGATGATAGCTGGAAAAGCTTTCATGAAGTGATGTGTCTAGCCAAGGAGCGGGACGTTGATATGGTTCTCCTGGCTGGCGATTTGTTCCATGAGAACAAACCATCCCGAAAGTCCATGTATCAGGTCATGCGGTCGCTACGGATGAACTGTTACGGCGACAAGCCTTGCGAACTGGAAATGCTGAGCGACGCAAGCGAGAATTTCCAGGGGGCATTTAACCACGTCAACTACGAGGATATGGATATCAATGTTGCCATCCCAGTTTTTTCAATACATGGCAACCATGATGATCCCTCCGGTGAAGGCCATCTAGCTGCCCTCGATATCCTACAAGTCTCCGGTCTAGTGAATTACTACGGTCGTACTCCAGAGTCAGACAATATCCAAGTGAAACCAGTTCTACTTCAGAAGGGTCGAACGAAGCTGGCCTTGTACGGTATGAGTAACGTGCGAGACGAGCGGCTTTTTAGAACTTTCCGAGACGGGAAAGTCAAATTCTTCCAACCATCACTTCAAAAATCCGACTGGTTCAATTTAATGAGCGTGCACCAAAATCATCATGCCCATACAGAAACCGGCTACCTACCCGAAAACTTCCTGCCCGATTTTCTCGACCTTGTTATTTGGGGCCATGAGCACGAGTGTATCATCGAACCTCGTTTAAACCCAGAAACAAATTTCCATGTTATGCAGCCAGGTTCATCCGTGGCCACCTCACTGGTCCCCGGAGAAGCGGTCCCCAAACAAGTGGCGATCCTCAGCATTACCGGGCGTGAATTCAAGACTGAACCGATTCGACTCAAAAGCGTCCGACCCTTCGTCACGAGGGAGATTGTTCTCCATGAAGAGAAAGAAGCACAGAGACTCGCAAAGAAGGAGAATAACCGCACGGAACTGACCCGTTTTCTTATCGGCGTTGTCGAGGAACTAATCGAGCAAGCGAAGAATGATTGGATTGAGGCACAGGAGGATGTGGATGACGAGGAACTTGAAATCCCACTACCTTTAGTTCGACTGAGAGTCGAGGTTTCAACGCCTGGTGGGGGGAGCTTTGATTGCGAAAATCCCCAACGGTTTTCGAATAGGTTCGTTGGCAAAGTTGCTAATGTCAACGACGTTATCCAATTTTACCGCAAGAAGAAAGCCGGCACAGCGCTCCGTCGCGGTGAGACAGATGCACCAGATGAAGCGGCTATCTCGCATCTCTCTTCACTGGATACAGTTAAAGTAGAAAAGCTGGTGCGGGAGTTCCTAACTGCACAGTCACTTACTATTCTACCCCAAAACTCGTTTGGAGATGCCGTTTCCCAATTTGTTGATAAGGACGACAAACACGCGATGGAAATGTTTGTGAACGAGTCGCTGGAGAGCCAAATAAAGCATCTCCTTGCTCTCGACCAGGAACAGGATGATGATGAAATAGACTATGGAGATGGGGAAGGGCGGAGCATTATTCAGGCTGCCATGGATAAATATCGAGCGCAGCTGGAAGATATGTTCGCTAAAGGCAGTCAGCGGCGTACCCGCGGACAGAGAAGGTTTAAACCAAAGCCTGATGGCTGGGACAGCGAGTTTGATGGCCCTTGGGAAGATCAGCCTGGTGCACTCATCATCTCCGATGATGAAGCCGATGAAGTCGTGGACGAGAACCCTCCTCCCCGGAGAGGAGCCACAACCACCACGGGACGAGGCAGAGGTCGAGGGGGTAGAACTGCAAGAGGATCTGCCCCGCGAGCTACAAGTACACGTAAAGCAGCCACTCCCACTACCAGCTCCAGCAGCCGCACCCGTCGTCGTCAAGCAGTGTCCGATGACGAGGACGAGGACGAGCAAGAGGATGCAATCATGCTGGACGACATCAGCGAGGATGGCGAGGAGAACTCTGACTCTCTATTCGTCAGACAAACTCCTGTTCCGCGCCAGGCTAGATCAACATCATCCACTACAAGCCGCGCACGGAAGCAAACCACTACAACGTCAACGGCCAGTGCGACCGCGACTGCGGCAGCTGGAAAGGCTCCCACTCGGAGCTCCGCAACTACCAGGTTTAAGCCGCCGCCGAAATCCACCAGGTCACAGATAAATGAAAGTCAAACACTAGGTGGCACAGACACAGGTTCCATGGTTGGTAAGCGGCCTAGTCGAGCTGCCGCGGCTCGGGCGACGAGAAGCGTCAGCGTCATGAGCGATGATATTGAAGATGATGACGACGCATTTGACCCTGCGCCGCCTGTGAGTAGCCTGCGGAGTTCGCGAAGGAGATAGCCACTCACACCAATACTTCACACGTAATATGCAGAACTGCGAGACATTCTGTAGGATACTACACAAAATGTGAAGAAACGATTCTACCCCATGAAACATACATGCATATAATCTAATTAAGAAGAAACTAAATATATCTACAACTTCCCTCTCCCCAAAAACTTGACCGGAATTTCCACCCATCTCGCCCGCAAATACTCCGCCACATTCTTCCCCAAGAAGTCCACCTTCCGCGTCACGCCAACCCCACGATCCAACAAGTTGCGGAAAAGGAAATGCACCCCGCGTAACTTAGGTAGCTCAAACAGCTCAATGCTCATCGTCCCATCTTCTCGCCACTCCCCACCCAACAACTCCTGCGCCTTTTCAGTCGACAACAGCGTCCGCAGCCATTCGTACTCATCATCGTGCCGCACCCAGAAGCCGCAGTTGGCGTCGGAACCCTTATCGCCCGAGCGTGCGTGCACGATCCAGCCCAGAGGCCCTCGCGTCATCGGGCCAAAGTCCGTCTCCAGATTGGCTGGGCGGGCGGTTACAGGCTGCGAGGGTTGTGGAGACGGCCAGATCTTCGTGGTGGCCGGTGGGGCGATGTCGATCGTTTTATTATCGTTAATGTCGTTGAGCCAGGGGAGGTGCGCTTGATGTTTCACGTCCGTCTGCGGGATGAGAGTGACGTAGTACTCAAACACGGGTTTGGGTACACCCTGGCGCATATCCAGATCGAACGTGGCGCCGGGATAGCCTTGCATGATATTATCGAAGATGAGTTTCATGAATTTGGTCGGAGCCAAATGTTCCTCCTTTGGTGCTTGGGCTAGTATGCGAAACGTCGTCGTCGCGCTGTTCTGGTCCCTGGGATCATCGGGCATGCTGCCCAGCAAAGAAAAATCGAGCACTGTGTAATTCTTCGAATGCGGTGCCAGTAGTCGGCGGATCTGCGTTTCCAACATGCGCACTTTGGCGGGGATGTCCAGCCCTACCATGAAATAGCTCGCTTGCGCCTGATACCCGCCTCGTGCTGTTATGCCCACTTTTGTAGTTGGAGGGGGCAAACCCGCCTTGACGCCGCACACTGCGACGCGGTTTGTGGACAGCTGCTCGAAATATATCCCGTCAAGAATCGCCGTGACATCTGAGTTGAAATACCATGGCCCCTGAATCTCATACAACAGTTGGGACGTGCATGTATCTACCGTCACAACTCCTCCGGTAGTAATCCCCGATTGTTTCGTGATAACCACCTCCCCGGCCGCGGAGATCTCAGCAATAGGGTACCCAATGTCTGCCCATCCACCCTCACTACTCTCGAGTGCCTTGAAGCCCGTGAAGTTCCCGCCGCAGACATAATTACTGCACTCGATCAGGTGGCCTGCAACAAGGGCGTTGGCTAGTTTGTTCAACTCGTGCCGGCCCCAGTTATGCCACCAGTATGCCGCGCCGATGACAGGGCTCGCGTCGGATACACGGCCGCAGAGGACGATGTCGGCGCCGTTGGCGAACGCTGCTGCGATACCCAGCCCTCCCAGGTAGGCCTGGGCGTATATGGGCTCGAATGACCAGTCCGCCAGGTTCTGGCCGGTGTAAATGTTCTTGAGCGGGGATTTCCCCGAGGCGAGTGCCTGAGTTACGGCGGGGAGGACCTCGTCGCCGGAGATCCAAGCCACCTATTTAAATCCACCGATAGTTATGTTAGAAATTTTGCGGGACGACATAAAAAAATATAAAAAAATATAAAAATAAAAAGATACCTTCAACCCCAATCCCCTCTCCCTCACTACTCTCTCGACAACCGTATATAGCCCTTGAACATCCGCCACGCCGGCATTCACCGCAACGCGAATCCCATGGCGCGCCAGATCCCCCAGGGCCGGCAGCAGCGACTCCAGAAACGACATCTCATACGCGGCCACGTCGTCGTCATCGCCCACGCGCTTAGCAGCGGCGGTCGCCATGTTGTACTCGCTCATGTAGTCGGAGATGATCACGTCGATGGGGTCGTTGGGATGGTTGCGGACGAAGCTGGCGAGGGCGTGGCGCCGGTCAGAGGCGGAGCCGGAAGCGCCTGGGTTGGGGATTTATTTTGTCAGTGTACATATACGAATAGATAGATATTGTTGGGGGGTAGCATACCGGCGATACGAATGGGGCGGTTTCTGGTGGACATGGTTTGTCGCTTTGGGTGTAACATGCACATGCGCCGTATAGGAGAAGATTCATGTGCTTTGTTTTTTTTTGTGGGTTTGAACCAAGCAACTGTTTACATATGTGACGGATGTTGTTAATTTATTTTTTTAAAGAATAAGTTTAGCATGTTTCAGGGTGGCCATTGCGGCCGCATTATGTTATCTACTCCGTACATCGCTCTCCATTCTTCATTCTGACTTGATAGTGGAGCAGCTATGGATTTCTGGACTTGTATATCTTCGGCCCGGCAGTCGGTCCGAGGCATCGGCATGAGATAGTCGTAGCAGTAGGAGATGGGGTGAATTAACACTAGTATTATTTATTATCTGCCAATTGATTTAACAAAAAATGAACAGCACTAGCCTTCTGAAGGTGAGGTGGTCAATGGTTCCAAGGTTCTCTCTGTAGGAGAATCAACATTGTTGTCATTATAATCTATCTACTCCATAGTGAGGTTTTCATATATAGAATGTGGGACATGTGAGTGCAGTAGTCAACAATCAGTGACACACATCTACCTTCTCACTATCAATTTCTTTACTGCTATTCTTCTTCTTCTTCTTCTTCCTCTTCAATTAGTTACTGTTAATTTAATATTTATGTCAGCAGTTTTCGGGGCGCCCTATTACAGCATATACCCATTGCCCAGGAAAAAGATAGATGATCATGAAAACAACAATAGTTCGAAAATTCGGGTCGATTTCATACATCAACTATCTGAATGGAGCCTCTGGTATCTCCTAACTAATTTACAAAAAATGCGTTTTGTTTTATTTTTTTATTTTTTTCCTTTTTCCCCTTTTTCCCTTTTTCCTTTTTATTTTTTATATTTTATATTTTTTGTCTTCGTAAAGTAAACTATTTGCTTGTGGCGCTAAGGTCCCTTCAAGCCAAACTCGGGGGGTGGGGGTGGCATGACAGATTTGGATTGAGGTAAAAGGTTGCCAAACAAAACAGTGTGAAGAAGTGAAAGGGCTTCGGCCCACCCCCTGACCCGGGCCATGCACCGTAAAAAACTCCTAAAGCCTCGAAAAGAACTAAGAAATTGAGTTGGCCGTTGATTGTTGACCGTTGCAAGGACATGATGACATGTCGACATTCGCCGGTGAAACATGCACACAAGAAAAAGAATAGGAAGTTGGAAGGTCACCGGGCAGTCAACGTAATATTAGAAAAACTGGCGATACAGAGCTGACTGGAAAGGACAAAAAACCGTAAACCACACACAAGCCATTAAAAAAAAAAGAGAGAGAGATTAGGAACATGTTTAGGCCACCTCCTCGATCTTAGGCTTTGAATCCGTGGGGCTGGCGTCCGTTCCCTCCTCTTCCAATGGCGGCATTTCGTCGTCCTAAAGATCAGATTTCGTTAGCAATTTACCTCTATTTTCCTCTATGTTTTATCAACAAGACTTCGGCGGGTTGTTTGTCACATACCGATCCATCATCCTCACCACCTTCACCCATTGCACCCATGTCACCCATATCAGGCATCCCGCCCAAACCTGCGCCTAGTTTCGAGAAGTCAATGCCACCCATTCCGCCACCCATGCCACCCATGTCGTCCAAGTTGCCGAAGTCATCAGCATCTGCGGCGTTTTGTTCGTCCTCATCGACCCACTACACCACCGTTGTCAGTAGAGCATCTTACAATGTATATATATATATTAAAGCCAAGCAATTGTTCTAACCTTATCGAAGTCTGTCTTGAGGAAATGGACCTTCTTCGATTCCTTCAAGAAGCGGGGCCAGTATTCCTCCTTGGCTTCCTTCTTTCTTAGCACGAGGTCGACGCCGCGCGGGGTGTGACTCGATTTGGAGTTATCGACGTCGATCTCATCGTACAACTCTAGGTCAACCTTGTAGTCAACCTTCTTGGTGTCTGAGTGGCCCGAGAAGGAAATGGAGGTTGGAGTGAGGGAGAGTTTTGCGGAGGTGGGGGAGACATCGGGCACACCGAGGTGGACGAAAAGGATATTTTTTTCGGGTTCAGTGCTCGACGAGCGCTGGGCCCAGAGGACTGTATCAAGGATATACTGTTAGAATGGTGGTCTATGGCAATTCATAATTCTGTAGGGAGACATAGGTAGGTATAAAAAGGACAGCTCCATATTGAGGGGTTATCTGAGCGTTCTAGCCAAGGGCCATACCTTCCGGGGTTTGCGTATCAGCCATTGTGGAAAGTATGCGTAAGAGAGAATCGGAACACAAGGAGCTCAAGATGTATGAGAAGGGAGTAGGAAGGGGGTTACAACAGTAGGTGAAGCTGGGAGTTGTTGTTGTTGTTGGTGTAGTAATAGTAGTAGTAGTAGTTCAAATGTTGATCGTTCAAAATTGTGCCACTGATGCCGCCGTTTGGAAAGTACTGGAACCGCGTAGACAACAGTCACGTGGCAAGACGGCATCCTGACTCAGCAGCCCATGTGACTTGCCTAGCCTGGCGGGCGATGATGTCGGCAGGAGAGGAACAAGACGAACAAGACGAACAAGACGAACAGGTAAATATCGGTATTGGCAGAAGCATCCTCTAGTACAGAAGGGCTCAACTTATCTCCTACTACTTTCTCTTCCCTAACCAGCTATTCCGATACACCAATAACCAACATTTACAATTTCAAACCAACGACGAGGGGCAATGAACACTACCGCCATCGCGCTCTCCATATATATATAGACCCATAGTTGCTCGTGAGCCATTCGCACAAATCCCCAGGCCTTGTGGCTAGTTTCCTCTCAATGGAGTCCCTCAAAGCAGTGTTTTTCGGCCCCGACCCCGCCGCCCAGGTATGCGACTGTCCATATACATCCAATCTCTCCCTTCTCCAACAATCGCTTGCCCGCAGTTAGCGCTAATGTAACGAATTGACAGATGAGAAAATGCAACAGTCTCATCCGCGCCAACGCCCGCAAGCTGGATCGGGACATTGCCCAACTTAAAGCCCTCGAAATCAAAACGAAACAATATATTGTCGCCGCCTCGCGACGGGCAGAACGCAACCCATCCCAGGCCGCGCAGGCCGCCAAGGAGTCCCGCATATTCGCCCGCGAGATGATCCGCATCCGGAAACAGAGCAGCCGGCTGACAACGAGTAAGGCACAGCTAGAGAGCGTGAAAATGCAGGTCAACGAAGCGTTCTCTGTGCGGAAGATTGAGGGGAGTCTCAGGGCTTCGACGGGGATCATGAAGAATGTCAATCATCTCGTGCGGTTACCGGAGCTTGCAGGCACTATGCAACAGTTGAGTATGTATACTTCCCAAATTTCGGTGATTATGATAGTTCCTGTGGATTTTCGGTCACTAATGGGGCGATACAATTAGGCATGGAACTGGTCAAGGCTGGTATAATCGAAGAACTCGTCGACGACATGATCCCGCAAGAACAGTTATTAGAAGGCGAAGAGGAAGAGGCAGATTCTGAAGTTGACAAGGTCCTTCAAGAAATTCTACAGGGCAAACTGGCGAAAGTGGAAGGGCTCAAGCCGGAAAACCAGGTAGAAGAGGAGCCGGTGGAGGAAGAATTCGAGGACCAGGAAGAGACGCTTGCTCAGATGAGAGGGCGACTGGAGGCGTTAAAGAGCTGAGACGGATATTACCTTATATACTTTGACTTGATCGTTTCCCGATTATTTATTTGAGCATGTCGCAGTGAGAGTATGATTATAGCTTTCCCCTGGGCGTTTTGGCTGGCGGTTATTTACTACTCTGGTATAATTATAACGGCATAGATGACAGTTATGACTCAGATGTTTCAATGTTGATATTCCCACTGGTATATTTATGTTGATACGCCTTATCCATACTTTACACCCATCCGCTTGAATTCTACGCTGAAGGGTATCGTATCGCAGACTCATTTTTATGTCCGCGCTACCTTCGGATTAGGAGTTGTTCCGATGCCCTAAGCCCTAGTCGCTACATCCTCGCACTGCGGTGCAGATTATGTACATACATACATACTGTGCGTACATGCTTCACCATGGCCGGTTCAACCATACGGCCTCTTAGTCCCTGTGGCTGTGAAGTCCACCAGGTTCTTCAACTGCATGGCCTGTTTGATCTCATGGCTGTCAAGTCCACAGATCTACATTCTTTGAGTCTTACAAAAGTGAATGCTTAGAAAGCCTAACCGAAAAGTTTTACATAGAATTGTCATCTATTTAGTTCCAGGCTCTACAGGCATCATCTTGAGAAAGGACCTTCCAATCTGCAGCTTTCTACCGGCAAAACAAGAGAGCCAAGTCGGCCAGCCATGGTGGAGTTATGGAGTCCCCGAGGGGTCGCCCGTCTACCGTCTTTCATTCTAGTCGCTTGTCTTTCAGCTTTCTTCCAGCCTTGGCGTCTTGGAGAGATTTTCGTGACATTTCACTGGGGGCCTTAAGCCATGGAATTCAGGCTGATGATAATGAAAAGCACTTCTCCTTCCCTCAATTAATCCATAGGGGAAGAACGTAGGGTTAATTTACGGTGATTACACCGTGGATCCACCATTCCACCCGTGTCACGTGTCGCCGATCGTAACACATGTTCCACCATTATATTCAGCGACACGTCACCGAATATTAAACATCAAGATGGCATTGAAACAGCACAGGACTTCTTGACACCATCAGGGGACAGCTCAGTCACCATGTAATCAGCGGATGCCACAATCAAGATACTACTGAGATACTGTGAGCCATGATATACTGTTCTGTCAGCAAAATCAATGCTTGTATACTATTCAGCTAGACTAGTTAACTACTTCATACAAATCAAATTACTATCTAAAGAAACAAGACATTCCAAGTGTAATGTAAATATCTTATTGTCTGAGATTCATACACCAAACAATCATCATTTTCATCAGTATTCAGTATTGAAATGTCATGCAATGCTGTCTTTTGAATCACTGAAAGTCTGATAATAGTGTAACTGTTGAAATTCTCTTGTAAAATCAGCAGATTCAGCAGATGATCCTGTCCAACATGATATAGAGAAGTAAGTGTAAAGAAAATCCACTTAATCTTCTTCATTTCATAGACAAAGATAGTTATAATTCAGTCAAGATCAGCTCTCTGATATTGAAGAATATTCCTCTTCATAAGAGAGATTCAGTGAACACACTCTCTGATTTATATATTAATAAGTTAATAACTGATTGATTGATTAGTTGAAGAGATATACTGAACTGAGAATATCAACTTATTATAGAAAAGAATCAGACAGTGATCTAGTTTCAAAACTGAGAGCTTATTTCAATCAGTGTCATAGAATTCTCACAGATTATTGAGAAATGAATGAAGCAATTCAAGCTTGAAGAGATTTGTAAATTGTATACTGACTTTCTCTGATATCTTACTTGATAATAGACAACTAAAAATCTTCAGAATAATATGATCTTTTATTGACTCTAACTTGACAGAGTAGTTCAGTGAATCATTATTATTATCTGATTCTTCATTCATTCTCAGAAGATTATTGAACAGTGCTGAATAAACTGTATATAGCTGTTGAATCTTCTGTATCAGACACAAGTCAGATCTGTCAAAAGAATCTCTTAATACTAGTTACAAGATGCAGTGAAAGCTCTTCTGCAAGAGCAGTGTCTTCTTCACATCTTGATAATTTATTCACTACACTAGATTCTTGTAGTCTCAATGCTTGTTCTTCTCTGTCAGAACATTACAGTTGTTAAATACAGTGTATTCTTTAATCAGCTTAACATAGTGTAAATCAATATGCATATTCAGTCAATTCTTCATATATCATATAAGCTTTGCTTTTTTGATATAATCACTGATATGTGTAGCAACTGTGCTCATTGTTAGAGCAGGGGATGACTGATGACTAACAACTGAACCAGCTCAGAATAATTCAAATGTCACTGCTGCTCTTGCTGCAGCTTCAATAAGAAATTGTAGCTGTCAGCAGACTGTAAGTATGATTTGATGAGTCACTTCAGAATCATTTTCTCTCAGAGATTGAGACATCAATAGACTATTGCTCCTTGCAATGACTGCATATACCTGAATAATAAGATTAATAGATGATTGATTTAATGCTGAAAATGCTGCAGAAATAATCTGCTTAATCACTGAACTGAGTCATTTCTCTCTGAGCTCACATCACAAGATAAGAGATATAATGATTGAAGCTCAAGCATGTTCTTGAAGCTAATACTTCTTGAGATAAGTGATCAGTGACTGCAGATGATTTCAACTGTGAGAAAAAGAAAATGTCTGTAACATTTGAAAGTATTCTAGCTGATCATGCAGTGATAAGACAGTACTGATCAGCAATAAGTGTGAAATCTCTGATATATCAGTGAACTCACTATAACATGAATCAGAAGGAAAAAAGAAGATCAAATTCAAACTTAAGTATATTTGAAAAAGAGACACTGTCTGTGCTGTCATGTTCTGCTCTTGACACATTTGCTCTCTGCATGTGAGATTCAGCAGGTCATTCAGTTTAGACTGAAGATGTTGTATATGATGATGAAATCAGCTGTTATTACATAGATTGTAGTTCAGATTCAGCTGATTTTTATCATTAATAAAGCAGCTTCAGCATGATCTTCTTACAGTTGATTCTTTGATCTCTGCATTGCTATTTTACTGCAGCATATCTTCAAGAAATACAATACAAGATGCAACAATTCTCATCTTTTCTTCACTGATATTCATCATAACTCTCTCACAATTCAATGTAGATAAGCCATGCAACAATGCAGTGACAGTGTCAGAAAAATTGATATTATGAGAATCAAAGATTAGAATAAAAATATTGTTTCACTTCAAGCACTCAACAGCACTCAGTGCAGAAATCATATAAAAACTCATCAAGCTTTGATACATGTTCTGATATAAATCAAATCCATCAATAAATAATTGATATGACAGGGAAATAACTTGTATATCAGAGTAAAATATGCTTTTCAAAAGATCTCAACCATGTGCTGCAATTTTCAACTCAGCCTGAATTGGCGAAGATTTGCAATATGATCATATCTCAACAACTTCAGTTTTGATTCTCATGATCTGATGAAGAAAATACTGACCTTGACTCTCATATGCTAGTAGATCAGAACCTGATTCAAATGCTGTATTTATATGAACATCAAGTTGATCAAGAACTTGAATAATTGAGATATATTTCATCTCATTCTTCATTGTGATTATTTTGAAGGGACTAAATGATGAATTCAAGAACAGTAATCTTTGTGCAGTCTGCAGAGTATAGTGAACAGCTTCTTGAACTTTCAGAACTATCATATAAGATCTCATGTCTGAATGTCAGTGATCATGTCTGACAAAACACACTCTTTCAATATAAGATATATCATTCAACTCTGATTTGCAGTAGCATTCAAGATTCCCACACTGATACTGAATAAAATCAGAAGAAAAAAGAGGTTTATTTATTGATGAATATCACATGAAGTCACTGAAATAATATTTGACAGAGCTTTCTCAACTGTGAGATTATCATAACTCTGTAGAATTGTTGACAATTTCTGCCATTTCTATATACATTTATCACCAGAAAGTTGAGAATTTGAGAAGAGCAGATATCAAGGAAATCAGATTTTAAAAGTAGAGTGATCTCATGAAGAATTCAGCGAGATTTTTCTGAGCAGAACTCAGAGTTGATATTTGCATTGATGACACTATTGAAATTGAGGTTTTCTTGACTGATAAAATCAGAAATTGTGCTCTGTATTGCTTTTTCAGAGTTGATAGACCTTCAGAGAGCAGACTTATCAGCAATGTATTCTTCAATAAACACAGAATTTGCAGTAGTAATTTGTAGTTTTTTCAGGAAATATCTGACTCTTCAGCTCAGAGTCTCATTGCCAGAACAAATGAATTCATTTCAAAGTTACTGTGTTTGTGAGGTATATCAATTGCTGGATCAGAATCAACAAATTAATCAGTAATAGTAACAGCAATTGCATCAGCAGCTGGTATTTCAATATCATCAGTAACTGACTCATCAGAATCCTCTTGATCATCATTTTCAGAAATATTCTCCTCAGCAGCTGCTTTCAAAAGCCACTTAATATGCTCAATATTATCAGCAGCATTCTCATTATATGGCTCTGCCTTTAGAGAATGTTAGTTTTTATAATAATAGAGACATCAAAAGTGATAAACTTACTGAGAATAGCAATGCTTCTTCACTGAGAGCATCATTGTCTGAATCACTGTCAGTGAAATCTTCATTTGCAGTTTTCAGGAAAGAGAGGCTCTGATGTTGGAATTTTAATTGATCATCTCCAGATTCTTGTCTAGAGACAGATAGCAGATAGTGTTTCAGATTTCAATTAAACAGACATGACATTTTGCTTTCTGATATAATTTGTAGAAAAAAGTTGTGTAGTTGAAAAGATATGAATGAAGTGAATGAGCAGTCTTGATAAAATAAAGAGATAAGGTTGAATTACTGAAAAGAAATATATCAATAAGAGTCATAATCAGTGACAAACATCATCTTAATATTAATAACCATACTTTCTTTGTTATATTCCTGCAAGTAGCTGATTATTTTATCAGAATACTATCAAAATTCTATCAAAATCCTGAAAATAAGCATGGTCATAGATCTCAGTTTAATAGATCTCTCCGAACTCTCCCATCTGATAGGTTTACTGAGACAAATCACCAATTTCAAAAGAAATCATATATTGATATATCTGTATCATAGAATGAACATAATGGCATCAATGAAGAATATCAGACAGATGAGAAATCAAACTCATTCCTAATATTCAGTGATCTGTCAAAGAGACATCACTGAATTCAGCACTCAGATGCAGAAGTGTATGAGAAGGAAATTCAGCTGACAGAATAAAAGCTCTGTGTTGAAACCAGATAAATGTATTTTCTTACATTCTCAAAGAATAATCTGGACAAGACAGTCACAGAGATGATGAAAACAAAGAATAAAACCTCATACATATTCTCATCAAGTCAAATTACAATGCTTGATGCAATAAAGACATGGAAGTCAAGAACATTGAAAGAAATGAAGATAAGTATTTTCAGTATTTCAGATCTTAGCAAAAATCTCAACTTTTCAGTGAGATATATCAAGTCTCTGATGAGATATCTTGACCTTTCAGTGAGAAATCTTAGACAAATCTAAACTTTTCAGTGAGATATCAAAACTTGTCTGATCAACTTAACTAATCATTTATTGATATAGAATTATGTTCAACAGAAGAAGGCAAAAAGCAGAGAAAGTTCAGTGATAATCAGATTGCATAACTGCTATGAAGAGTCAACAATCTTTGACTATTTTTGTGATTTATTTACTGCTGAAAAGTTCTTCTTGATTTTTTACTGAGTGCAGAGAATCATTGACTTTGATCAATTCTCTGAGTGAGAACAATGATATATGAAATGTAAGTTAACATCAGTTTGAAAAACATCAGACTGAGAAACAAGAAACTGATTCTGAAAAATAGAGATATATACAAACCTGGCAACTCAAGTCAAAATATTTGATAATGCTGATATAAATGAAAATTCCACTGAAGCTATGCTGCAATTGTGGTTCGGAAGAACGTACGACTGTCGGATAATAACACGGCCGCTTCCGAACTACTAGCGTACGCGTGTAAAGGGGCCATAGCATACACTAATTAATTTAGCATATGAGATTACAATATAAGAAGCCGGCATACACCTGTAATTATACACTGGCTTAAGCAACCTTTGAATCACATCTGATAGCATGTCTAAAAACTAGTGAGAAGTGCAGGCTCCTTCAGAGCATGATAATTCCATCTATGAAGCAATTCATAGTTATCATGCCAGTGTGGTTCTAGAACACCTCAAAAAATAGTGTACAAAGAGCAGTGAGTGAAAGAGCATCTGATTGATGCTGCTGCTTTGCTTGTTGAGGGAAAACTCCACACTCAGACAAATGCCATGTATGCGAATGAATGAGGTATGAGAAAAGAAATGAAAGCAGTGAACCAGATTCAAAGAAGACTGCTCTTCACTCAAAGAGATAAAAGAAGGGAATGACCATCATCAGAGTTGTATAATGATAACAGAAATCATATAATGATATAGTGATAGAATGATATAGTGATATAACAATACAGCAATATAGTGATATAACAATAGACATTATACAATCAACTAGAAATCACTGAAATGAATACCTCTTCTAGCTGATACAAACAATACCCTTATCTGCTACCTGAATCAGAAGATATGCAGAACCTTTCAGAGAGTTTACTTAAAGCAGTAAGAAAAGTGACTGAAACTGCTGAATCAGAATTGAAGCTCTGTATGTGTATAAGAATTCTAAACAAGATTGAGGCCTTGCATACGCAGTGACAGGCTGAGATGAAGGCTAAACAACAATTGACATTTGCTGCAGATCAAGCATTCACTATGAAGAGCTTCACTGACACAATCACCATCATCAATAAGAATAGAGAAAACCAGATCTTAGGTCTGCAGCAGGAGATCAAATGTTTACACAGACAGATAACTACATCAAATCTGAAGATTTCATCACAATTGTTCACAATCTCTTCAGGAGTGTACACATCATCAGAGACTGCTGCACAGGATGAGAATTCAAGCATGAAATATATCAAGTCAGAAGATCTGCTGAAGCCATCAAGCTTCAATAGTAACTGAAAAAATGATGCTGTAATCAGCTGGCTAAGTCAGATGCAATCATATTATCAGATCAAACATGAACTCACAGGCAGGTAGTCAATGAAATTTCAACAAGTCTTAAGATCTGCCGCGTTTCTATGTGGAAAAGCGAAGTCATTATAAATGACTGATGAAAAGATAAATCTCACAGACCTGAAGCAATATTCATTCCTATGAATATGAAATGAGTTTTCCAAGTGAATCTTACACAACTTCAAGAAAGTGAACATATGAGATAAGTGTTATAAATGCTTCACTGAGTGTAGATAAGTGAGTGATCTTATATTATACTTCACACACTTCAGCTTATACTATCTTATATTGAATGAAGAGCTTTCAACATCTTTCTGTTTACAGATCTTCATTCATGGTCTTACACCTGAGTTGAGAGTGAAATGAAAATGCTTAACCTCACAGTCAGGCACAGTGAAGAAAGCATATAATATTCTCATTATACAGGAACAAGTGAGTCAATTGTAACAGAAAATACTATAATTGAGTATGCTTCAGCAGAGAATGAGTAATCAGACTTCTACAACACAAGTCATACACTCAGACATGATGAATCTAGATCTGAATACTATCACTAAAGTGCTGAATCCTCTGAAAAAGAGATTCTCTGAGTGAAAATCTTGGTATTGTGAGCATTGAGCTTGTTTCAACTGCAGACACTAAAATCATGATGCAAAAGATTGCACTCAGTATGCACAGTCAAAAAACTAGCAGAATCAGTGAGCTCAGAGACACTCACTGATATTCTATGAAAAGTCTTCAAAGTGAAAGAGATGTCTGTGTTAGATGACTCTCTGAATTCTATAAATGCAAAGAAGAAGCAGGCTTCTGAATGAAGTGTGAGTGAGAATGATAAAGTGAATACTCATCTCAATGCCTTGAGACCTGAAATGTTAATGTATAGAGAGCACTTGAGTAAGAATTGAGAGATGACTGTAAAAGTGTTAGCAGACACAGAAGCTTCTACATAATATATTAATGATTATATGATCTGAAGATTGAAAGAGGTCTGCTAAGTGAAGAATCCCTGATGCATAAGATTATCTGATAACTGATATCTGATATCATCTGTAAAAGTAAGAGTTCTCTTGCACTTCAGAGAATGATCTTGCTATATTTGAGTGTGAGAGCTGCAGAATATGAAATACAATCTTATTCTCAAACTCAATTGGTTTCAAAGGTTCAATTCGCAGATTCAATGATGTACATGCTATATGCAGTTGACTGATAGAAAGAAAATGATTCATATGATTCTATCAACTGATATGAGAAGGACATTTCACATCTCTGATATAGAAGGGTTAAATCTGCTTACACATCAATAAGTAAAGAGAATAATTCACAAGATCTTATCTGAAAGCATTCTGTATGTCATACAGAACCCGGAAGCAGAGAAAATCAAGATAAAAGATATGCAGGAGAATAAGTGTATGAAGAAGCTTCTGAAGAAGTATGAAAAGATCTTCTGAACAGATCTTTCACTGAAATTGCCACTGGAACAAGAATTCATACATGAGATTGACACAGGAAATGCAAAACCAGTCAATCAGAATGTGTATTCTCTGTCACAAACACATCTTGAAGAACAGAAGTGTCAGATCACTGACCTTCTAGAACATGATCTCATATGACTCTTATTAAGTGTGTGAGGCTTTTCAGTTCTATTCATGAAAAAGGTGAGTGAGAAGTGACAGATGTGTATTGATTACTGAGCACTCAATAAGCTTACAATCAAGAATGAATATTCACTGCCACAGATTCAATAACAGTTGAATACAGTTGGAAACACTCAATATCTATCAAAGATCAATCTTCTCTCAGAATACTGGCAGATTCATGTAGATGAACTGTCAGTCCCATGAACCACATTTAATACATAATGAGAGAAGTTCAAATTCCTAGCAATGTCATTCAGTCTGACAAATGCACCTGTCATCTTCTAAATAATGATGAATATGATTCTTCATAAACAGAATGAAACCTCATGTCTCATATATCTCAATGATATTCTAGTCTTTTCAAACTCATACAACAAACATCTGAAGCATCTCAATGAAGTGCTTACAACTCTGACAGAGTATAAGCTCTATATCAAATCAATCAAGTGTGTGTTTGAAACAGAAGAGTTGAAGTTCATGAGACATGTAGTGAGTGATGACTGTATACATCTTATTCTGGAGAAATTGAATGTCATAGCAAATTGACCACAGCTGAGAAATGTACATCATGTACAACAGTTTCTTGAGTTGGCCTTATATTATCACAGATTCATCAAGGATTTCACATGAATATCTACATCACTCTCAGATCTCTTAAGAGAAATAGATGCAAATCTGCAAAAGAAGAAGTTTCATTCAATCATCTGAAATACTGTATGTGAAGAGACTTTTCTCACACTGAGAGAATGCATAATAACATTCTCAGTGCTTATTCAATCAGATCATGATAAACCTTTCTACATTGAGACAGATGCATTCAAATGAGCTATCAGAGACACTCTTCTACAGATGAGTAAGAACAGCAAGCTGCATCTGATGATGTACAATGATAGAAAACTATCAGGCATCAAGCTCAATTACTCAGTGTATGAAAAGAAATTGCTAGTAATTAAGCACATGCTGATGTTGTGAGATAGATATATCAATAACAAGCATATGACAACAGTGATCACAGATCACAAAAGCCTCATCTATCTATAATCAATAACAAAACCTTTCAAATGTTTAGCATGTTGAATCTCGGAGTTCCAAGTGTATAATCTTCATATCAAATACTGAAAGGAATTGAATGCAGTGATGCTAAATGCAATCAGTCACAGATCTGATTTCATGAGTGAGAGTTCTGTGAACCAGGCACAAGAGATGTTCACATTAAACATGCTGAGGAAATGCAAGAAATCAGAATGAATGAATGCCATGATCTCTCACTTGAAGAATGACAAGATGTTGAATGACAAGTGTCTTGTGAAAGTAGTAGAAGAGATGCTTCTGAACTTCAAGCTGAGAAAATTGAAAAACAATGTTATGCTTTATCACAATCTAGAATACACAGAAGCTCTCTATCTAGAATCTTCATTTTATTGTGACTTGATGGCTCACATGCACAAGGAATTCAGCCACTTAGAAAGCTCTGAACTCATGAGTGTACTTGAATCAAGAGCATACTGGCCAAGTATGGCCGAGGACATTCAGGTGTATGCTCACAAGTGCCTGAATTGTCAGGTTGTGAAAGAATCTAAGAAAGGGTTAGAATATGAGAAAGCATAACATCAGATGAAGTGTATGATACAATCATTTGAATGATGAGAGGTGGATCTCATAGACATATTATTATGAATGTCAAATGAAAATTGATGAATAATCACTGCTATTGACTATGCTACTGGCTGGTCAGTCATGAAAGCAGTTTCAGAGGCAACAGAGAAGATGATGGCAAAGTTTCTATATGATGAGATCTATGTCAACTATGAAATGCCGCGCGAGATTCTAACTGATAATAGTGTGAATCTCATGAAAGAAGTGGTGAGGCATTTCATGAGCCAGTTACAGACAAGACATTGTAGAACAACATCATATCATCCATGGATGAATGAGAAGATGGAACACTTGAATGAAATCTTGGGCAACATGCTGATAAAATATCTAGTGAGCAAGCCTATAAGACTATGAGATGAATATCTCAGACAGGTGCTGTTGATCACGCGGATTCAACAGCATGCAGTCTTCAAGCATTCACCATTCTATCTGTTGTATGAATTGCATCCGCGCATCCCGGAGAATGCTTTGGAAAAGGTGAGAGAGAGAGCAGTTGCAGATGCAGCAGGAACAACAGTTGCAGATGCAGTAGAAATAGCAGTTGCAGACACAACAGTTGCAGACGCGGAATCAAGATTGAAAGAGATCAGTCATACACATGCAAAAGCTAACAAGTTACTCCTGAACTAAGCAATTCAATTGAAAAGAATATGAGACTCACTTATTAAGAAATCAAGTCTCAAGATAAGAACATGAGTTCTCATACATAATGAGAGTTCTGAGAAGTTCCAACCTAGGTGATTTGAGTCATATAAGATACTCAAATCACATTCTCTGAGAATGTATGCATTGGAAGAATCAGAGAGACAGATCTTATACAACTTAATCAATAATTCATGACTTGTAAAAGCAAAGATGCAAGATCTGAGCAGATTATAATTATCTGCAGCACTATTATCAGTGTTGAAAAAGAAGAAGCTTACAATTAAAAAGCCTTGCAAAGTAAGAGAAATCATAGATGCTTATGAACCAGATAATCTCACTTATTCCAATCTTTTCACAATTATAAGAAAAGAATGGAAAGAAATGAAGAAATCAGGTGAACATCATACTTCAATAAGTGATGAGACTGTAGTCAGTTGTACAATAACATGTCACAGACAGCAGGCATAATATGGTAAAGAGCAGTCTCAGAGTAGCAGACTTATATATGAGTCAGATCACAGAAGAAAAAGAAATTCAGAGTTGAATTTGACTGTTTACATCAGTTCAATCACAGAGATCACAGAAGATGAACTATCTGAAACATCTGCAGACACGTGAGATCAAGTCATCTCAATCTCTGAGAATGCTCAGAGGTCGGGTGAGATTAGTTTCAATGAACTGTTTACTGTAGTGATCTGAGTGAGTGAAGAGAGATAGTATAATGTGTGAGACAGAATCACAAAAGATGAAAGCTGCTGAACCTAGTCACTGAATACTGTATTATATAGAGATCATATAAGAGTGATGACTAGCAGACAAAGAAAAAGTGTAAGAAAAGAAAAGAGATAATGAATTGATCATCAATCATAAGAGTCAGCCACAAAAGACAAATGTTATTATACACATCTCATTCATTTTCATACATCACATATTAATCTATTTTCAATGCTACATCATCTGAAAAACATCAAAAATAAAGGAAATCTCAAAACTCGAGGTTCACAAGAGATTCAAGAGCTGTAAGTCACTCTCACAACAACACTGTACATATCTCTGATTCCTCTATCACTCTGTGTACAACATTAATGTCATTTATCACAAGATTGGCTGAAATGCCAATATAGAAATGTGTACATGTATACATAGAGAAATTGAAGAAGAGCACAGAACCTGCAGGATCAGAAGCCAGGGCAGGGAAGACAGAGGCAGAAGAAACAGAAGAAGAAGGTGCAGAACTGAATGAATGACAGCAGGAGTCACTCAGAGCTGAACACTTACAACTCAGTGTGCACACAATCTTCTCTGCAGAGAAGGGAGAGAGAGAGAAAGCAACAGAAGAAGCTTAGAGATGAAAGAGAGTAGTCTTGATGATGTTATTATCTTTGATTAAAATGGCCTCTGGCGCCGGAGCAACTAAGAACTATTGTTAGTGTATGAAACTGTAAAAACAGAGATAACAATTATCAAATGAACATCTGCTAACCTTAGAATTGTATGTGCAATTACAACACACATGAGACTTCTCAGGAAGAGAGAGAGAGACACAGGGGAATGCAGGAAGCAGAATGCAGCATGTGAATGACTCATTTCCATGACAACATCTCAGACAAGGTGTATGAGCCTCACGCCCGCGGGTGTAAAAGAGTACAATATTCATGTTTCTGTTTCTGAAAACACAGATATCTTTCACCTGCATCACAAAGTCAGACAACAGACACTAGAGAATAGGCTGATACAGATCAATCATTCTGAAGGAATTCATTAGAGCAGATGTCTTCATGATGTTGAACTTTACAGTTATAAAAAGTTCCTTAATATCTGTGAACACTATGACTTTGTGCACAGTAAAACCTATAATAATTTCCTCTAAGAACAGAAAAATCAGTGTTAGAAAGAAAAGATGAAAAAGAAAAAGACTTACAATCTTGATATTGTTGAGAAGAGAGATGATTCTCTGAGATGAATAGATGATTATCTCATCACAAATATTTAAAATGAATATAATAATCAGCATCTGTGACTGAGCTTCAGATAGTTGTGTCATATGCAGTCTTCATACAATAAATTGTTCTGAGAGTTGACAAGAAGGGCAGGAGCATATGCACTGGAAGACATGATTCATTAAGTCTACACAACATCTCCTTGAAATGAGAAGAGCTAGTAATGAAAGTAGAGGTGGTAAAACCAGGGGTCGTGGGAACAGGGGTAGCAGGAGCGGGAGAACCAGACACAGGGGCAAGTGTAGAAGATTGGGGAGTGGTAGAGGAAGAGACAGAGAGAGGAGCAGCAGAGGAAGAAGCAGCAGAAGAGGCAAGAGAGAATGCAGAAGACCTGGCCACACATGACACAGACAATTTCTTCATTATCATGTTCTTCAAGTTCTCAATCAAGGATGCAACATCAGGTTCACTATCATTGATGAATGCAGATCTGTCAACATGTGAAGATTCTATATGAATAAAAACAAACATATCAGCATCTGTGTTCATATAAAATTGTGTCAGAAAATATGATCAGAAACTCACTGAGAAGAAGAAACAGTCAAGGACATATAAGAAGATGAAGAAGATGTGTTATTATTCATGATAATACATTGTTCTGATGATCATTAGAAGATAAACAAGTCCTGATCATGTTTCACAATGTGTTACACTTACTGCTAATGAACTGCCTGATATGAGCACTACAATGACACTTGCTGTGAGAACAGAGGGCCATTGTCAGAAACATGTACAATGTGATAGATGAACAGATGAAAAGAGTTGAACAGAAGAAGGAGTAGAAATCTTGAATAAGATGATGATGTTCAATGATGACAATGATGAAGATGATGATTGAAGAATGAGAAAAGTTAGTGAATGAGTGATGTAATATAGTGGAAGTTTCTTTGTAAGGACATACACAGAACACTAGCTGAATCAGAGATAGGTCACACAATTGTAAAACACTAGTGATGAGCTAATCTGCATGAAGCTAGGATGTACAACATGGTCACATAAGCGTGACCAAATCTGGTGAGAAAGAATGTGATTCAGAAGAATGTACAACTGTTGAATAATAACGCGGCCGCTTCCGAACTACTAGCATATGCATGTAAAGGGGCCATAGTGTACACTAATTAATTTAGCATATGAGATTACAATATAAGAAGCCGGTGTACACCTGTAATTGTACACTGGCTTAAGCAATCTTTGAATCACACAATGGCAAGATATTCTGACATTTTGAGATCTTATGAGTGATGTTCTTAAATATCAACAAATTGCTAGAGATGATTTTACAGAGACAATTCAGAATACTCTGACAGTCAAAAAAAAATGTATGATGAAAGATGCGCGGGAGAAGATGTGAAAAAAGGTAAAATTTTCAGATGCACTTCTGACAAAAGACAGGCCTGTGATGTAGAGTGTTCAGTGACACAGAGAGTTCTGACACAACTTATTTCTATTTCAATATATTTAGTTTTCTATGAGTTTTATATATAAATTAGTTAATATATACTTTAATATATATAATTAGAATATACCTGCCTTGATATTTGCTGATGAAAATTGTCATATTCTCTAAAATTTGTATGATTATGACTGCAGCAGAATCACTGATTTCACTGCATCAGAAAATCTTCTTATTCATCTGAAATTCTGTAGATATATTTCTGACAGCATGTTGAACACTTGTTTCTGATTAATAGAAATGATTTTATATTCAAAATAGCTGTAGTTCATTTAATAATAGTCTGCACAGAAAGTATTTGTTCTGAAAATAAGATATGAATAGAATCTGTCAGATATGCTGATTGATTGTGTTCAGAAGTCTTCTGAAATATGAAAGCATTACAAAAGAATCAATAACATATATAAAGAAGATGTCAACTTGTCATTCTTCTTTTCTTTTCTTTCTTCTTTCTTCTCACAATCATATCACAACACAAACATTGATTTATCAGCTCACTCAGCTCATTCAGCCTTTCTTCATCTTCAGTAAGATTAGTATCCTGCCAGTTGCAATAGAAAGCTTTAAGAATCAAAAGTTCTAATATAAGATACTGTGTGTGCACAGTACAGCAAGAATATCAGTGAATCATCACATCAGCATCAATAACAGCATCAATAACAGCATTAATAACAGCATTAATAACAGCATCAATAACAGCATCAATAACAGCAATAACAATAACAACAGCAGCACAAATAATCAGCAACACTCTCAAGTGTATGTGTGCAGCAGCTGCAAAAGCACAAGAGAAAGAGACAGTGATCAGGCTGAAAACTCTTCATCAGTCAGATAAGCTAACAATGTGTGAACATTGTATCTTATATATCTTTCTTCATCATATTGATACTGTTTGTGACAAAGTTGAAGAAAGCACAAAGTCATGTTCAAACTGCAATTATGAAAAGAAAGATTATGTAATATGTTCTGATGAATTCAAAGATGAAATTGAAAACCTAGTCTGAACTCATGAGTTTTATCTTGCCATCTCAACAGTTATGAAGAAATCAGTCAAGTCAGTCATGCTGAAGATGATGAAGAATTTATTCAAGCAAATCAAGAAAGCAAAGACACATCAGCAGAAAGCAGAAAATCAAAAAATGAAGAGTGTAGCTATCACATTGAAAGTCTTAAATACATCTATCAGTTCTGCTGAAAAAGTCAAACTTGAAATTAAGAAGATCAAGTTGAATATTGAAAGAGTCAAATTGAAGATTGAAAAGAAGAAAATCACTATGAAGAAGAAGAAAATTATCATTGAAAAGATAAAATTAAATGTTGAAAACATGAAGCTTGCTATTCAGCAGAAGATCTTGAGATCAGTTAACAATCATTATAAGAATTAAAAAGCAGTGATGAAGAATCTCACAAACTTGATTAACAGTGTCAGAGAGAAAGTGCAGTGTATTTTCATTGAAATGTATGAAATAATAAACTGATTTAAAATAATTATCAAACTTCTCAGTAATACAGTCAATGAGAGCAGTAGTGATAAGAAATCTATTAACAGTGATAATTCTCTTCTTCTCTCTGTAACTCTCATCAGCCTCTCTATCACTGCTGCTAATTCTTTCTCTCTCTTCTTCTTCAATCTTCTGACTCTGATGAGTGTTCTGAGTTCTCAGACTTATGAAACAATCACTGAAACAGTAAGCTAGAGTCAGTGAAATGATTTTCAGATTTATTCAGAGATTAATAATTATATAGACTTTTAAACATTCAGTGCCTGATCACTCTGAAACCTCAACTCTCAAATGTCAGATGACTGATGACAGTGTCTCCCAGATCATGACTAATCTGCAAACCTCAATTCACAAGTTCAGTGATGTGGTCAATGAGAGCAACATGACTGAGAATGAAGACTATGAAAGAAACTTGATTCAGTCAATTCAGAAGAATTTAGATAGAAGTGTCTGTGATTTCCAATAGAGGATGATACCGGCAAATGAGATGATTTTAAGAATTAGTGATTATGTAGATTGGATTCAGCAACATCACTAATATGATAATTGATTTTTTCAGTTTACCACTTATTTACAGTGATTTCATCATTCATCCACCATTATACTATGATTTACAGCTCGGCGACCGTGTCGCCGATTGAAATGGTGGAACAACCATAATCCGGTCGTGTAATAACCCTACGTTCTTCCCGTATGGATCATATTTGCATCACATGATCTAATAGCACCACCAATAACTGCCGGTCCCCTTCACCAGTTGTTGAAACTGTCCTTCTGGGTAGGAAATGGAAGGGCAAAAAAAGGCCCAAATGCATACCGCGAGGAAAGCATGACAGGCGTCATCAGACAGCGTAAAGCGAGGCAGATAACTTACCTATGGAGGCGGTCGTCGGAGCATTGAAATCTCACTGGGAGGGCAACGGTTTCAGTCAGCGCTCCGGCTGCATCCCAGAGGATTAGACGTTGACTGATAGAGGACGCGCAGGCGGCGTAGACGATGCGCCCAACGCCCCAGTTGTACTCTCATCGATACCCCGGATTAACCTCCCGTGCAACTGCGGAAGCGTGACCTCGAAGAAAGGCGGACGAAAGACTTACTGAATAAATTAGCAATGAAATTGTCATAGCGCAGGGCATGGTTGGCAGCTAGAGTACTGTACATTCCCATTTTGATCTCTTTCTGCCTTTTTGTGTTTCTGACTTTCGTTCACATTTAGGACACCCCGGAATAATGTAGGTTTGACCTGCAACCAGACCTCAACTATCACCCATTCAGGGGCTAGGCCACTGCATCGAGCCAAGGCTTAGCAAGTAAATCCATCGTTGTCTTCCTCTCTTTCGGATCAATCTTCATGAGCGATCTTAAGAACATAATAAATATCTTTTTGTTTTCCCCATTCAATTCCCCGAGAAATGCCTCCGATTCCAGCCCCGGACGGTTGAGTGGAGGCAAATTTTTTATCCTTTCCTCACTGTCAAAGTATCCTTGGACAAGCTCTTGGTCACCTTTTTGCAGAAATGATCTTGGAAATGGCCCAAATAAATCCACAATTTCATGGAGGTGGAACCGAACCTTGTAATAACCATATGGTGGACCTCTCCTACTAAACATGTGTACAGCGCGGAACACTTCCAAACAACAGCTCCTAAATTCCAGAGATCGGCAGCTGGGCCCCAGGGAGCTCTGATGAGTACTTCTGGAGCTCAAAGAGCTACAGGCTGAATTAGCTCGGAAAGGTGAGAATCAGTCCAACTAGCGACACCCCAGTCACCCAATGCAATATTAAACTTCATGAGATTTGCTCCCTTCCGGAAGTAATCCCACTTAAGAGGCTGAGACCGGATGGTTGAGGGATCAGTTGACGTGTCAAAGTCTGCCAGATCAGCAGGGTTATTTGGCAGGTATAGTTCTGAAATTAGCGAATAATCCTGGATCTGGAAGAAAAATGTTATCAGGTTTGATGTCTGGGTGAAGTGGTTAGCAGGTGGGTAGATAATAATAGTAGAAGGCAAATGGAAGATTTACCAGTGTGAATGACACCACAATCATGAGCATAATCCAGCACCAGGAGGAGCTGGATAGTGAAAGGCCGCATAATGTTGTTGGGAATCATTTGGTCTTCAAACCAGGTTTCAAAGCTCCGGAGCATCTCGCCCATAACCGGGAAGACAAGTCAGATATGGTATCCATTTGGACCTATGTGTCCTTTTCACCCCCATAACACTCCGCACTCAAAACTTTTAATCCCCTAAGATTTCCTCTGAATATGGCTGTTATTTACTGTATGCTTGCTGGCTGGATGGAGGGAACCGATCTTGTACTTTGAACAAGCCACACCGTTGAATATCTCCCGAAGCCTAGTTTCCTCAGCACTTTGTGTTTCCCATCGTACACCTCTCCAAGATGAACAGGGTGGAAACCACTAGGACGATACACCTGTGGCCCTTCCTCTGCTTTGAGAGGCGGGGTAAACTCCTGGGTATTGCTGGACATTTTCTCGCCGCAAGATCAGATGTTGACCAGTCTGTGATTGAACAGCTCAGGTATGAGCGTAGCTAATCCTCCTAGAGCCCCCAAAACCATACGCTTTCTAAGAGTATCGGCCTCTTAAGTTGGCATAGTGGATGAGAATTTACCTCTATCAATTGGCTACATTGGAATATGGCTAAGTAAACATTCTCAACATGATGCTAGAGCATGATGCAAGCTAGGTAAGCTACTTATTGACGATCACTCAATGCCAACCACAATGCCACATTGAGGGCAACTAGTCACCTAAGCGCTATCTCAATGATAGCCAGTCAAGATCATGGAGAACAGAGAAATGGTGGATCTCAATGGTTTCCTTCTTTCTGATTTGTGCCCGCTTCATCTAGGAAAGCAAATTCCTCTTGGCGAAGATCTGGCGATGAGCTGGGGGCTGGCTGACGAGCCAAACCCCCCTCATTTATTTATACTGAAGCGCACCAAGCGATTCGTCTTGTATTCAACCCATAGTATATCCTATGATATTCAGACCTGCTAAGTCGGAGCACATACACTTCGCCTAAGTTAGTTCTATTCTCGTAGCAAGCTACTCGACAGTTCATCGACATATTCCAGTACTACTACTTCGACGTGAGATCCTCGCTAGTGATTCTCCCCTATTGCAAGGAGACAGGGTATACACTACATAGATGCAAACAGTTAGAGGTTGGATTGGTAGCGGACAAAGTGAGGGAGACTACATACCAGGGTACGTGACATAGGGGAAGCATATCATCCAACAGAAAAAGAGTGGTTCTGTGTGTGAACCTCTCTTCAAAAAGCAGCAGTGGTTTTCACGCTGGTCTCTTCTGCCATCTTAGCAGGACACTGATTAGGTAAGTTAACTAAGGAAATTTCCTTGCTGCAATGAAGGAATACTCTTGAAACTTCCAAAGCCATTTTGGTACATTTATTTCAAATAACAGACCCAGGTTCTCACAGTGAAGGTAATGGCACATGAGACTCTTGCTGGTGTTAGCTACTCAATCCATCAACTGTCCTAACGGCCTAGAAAATAAGAGTGGTTCAGCCAATGAGAAAAGGATGCAATGAAACTGACCTGATCGCTAAACAGGGATTGACAGGCGCGACTTGGGTGCCATCTGCCATTGTCGGTTAGTTGCTGTAACCACTGAGAAATGCTTGTAACACGGTTTGCAGCAGCATCACGATCAAGCACAACCAATTCTCCATCATCACCGTCATCATTTCTACCCACCTCATCTCGAGCTTCGGCAGCCCCGCTCATCCCTGCGACCCTTTGTAGATGCCACTGTAATTCGAGAAGGGGCCAGCTTGGAAGCGGACGTTTAGCGACATCATCTGTGGTAAGAGTGATAACCTGCCCTGAAATGAGAGCTCCGTATTCCGGCTGACCATCCATCTTACGTTTGCCTGTAGCAACCGGCGAACCTTCTCCACCGTCATAATCATATAGCCCTTCGGACGTTGCTGGCGCTTTGAGGAGGTCGATTTCCTTTACCGTGGAATCCCAAGCGAGGAACAAGAGATTCTAGAGAGACGTGGTTGGAGAGTAAAAGAAAGGGGAAAAGATAATGGCATCCAACCAAATGGATAGAATTGGAGGAGGAGCGGGAATGGTGCCAGTTGAGCCAACAAGAGGCCTGAATTAAAGCAAAGTCGAGGGTACAGAGTACAGTACGTACTGCGCTGTGAGTTGCGGGTGAATGATGAATGGTGAATGGTGGGGAGTAAACAAGGCGGCGGGAGAGGGTCGACATGGCGCTTTACCCGATCGGGCGGCACCAAACCCTGTCCGCCTAATAATACAGATGAATGTCTACGGGTTATCTCCTTGTTTGGGGGCGGCGAGCACTATTTAGCGTGGTTTTTTTGGCTGTACATTAGCGTATTAAATACAGCAATTTCATTGATTAATAAGTGCGATCACTAAAAAGTAGCTGTATTTGACTGTTATAGTTCAAGAAAGCGGCATTGTTGCGCTAAACCATACAAGGCAAGGTATACCTGGGTAGTTCATCAAAGCGGTGATATGGAGCCTTACCCGATTAATGCGGCGCTAAACCCTGTGGAGCAATCTCCCAAGATACGGGAGTTTAATAAGACACAACCCATCTAGTAGATAAATCTACTAAGCCTATATTGATCTAGTGAGACGCTTAGTCATACATTCCTTTGTTGTTCCCTTCAGGCGGCAAAGTCAACGTCCTCAACTCTCGCACTCTCTTCGTTTTCGAACATCCCCAACATCTCGATTCACTCGTCATCCACAGAGTTTGCTTCTTCGCCATCCACAGAAACCGGTGACTGAAACCCTTCTCTGCTACTATCTCTCCAAGTCGCTATCAGACTGCTTCTATCTTTCCTCTTTGTCATAATCAGGCTCTCCCCACCAACATCCATCGCCACGTCAATCAGGAACGACAGCCTGGTATTGGCGTAGAGTCGGCTCTATTCTCCCCGCGCATCCTCCCTAGCTTCAGTGAAATTATCTCGTTTCGCGACATCACTATTACTACATAACAATGGCCGACAAGCTGGACAAGTCTCTTGACGATATCCTCAGCACCAGGCGTGCCGCCCGTCGTGGCTCCCAGCGACGTCGCGATACCAGGGCCTCGAGGGCCTCTCAAAACGCTGCCCCAGTAGGCGGCGTCAAAAAGACCGTCAGGAATGCGAAATCTACTTCCAAGGCTACCCCCACCGGCCCATCTATGGGTCTGGGCGAAAGCAAGATCATCGTGAGCGGCTTGGTAAGCCCTTTTCTTCCTTTTTTTCTCCTACCCGCTGTTAGAATAATGCAGACGCTAACTTCTTTCAGCCCTCCGATGTCAATGAAGCGAATATCAAGGTATGTTGATAGAGGGTATCTTTCTGGGTTTCCATCGCCGTCTCCGTTCGAGATATATCCCCTTCGAAATGTCACGAACGAAATCGTCGCTCCTTTTTCCTTTTCCCAAAGTCGCATCTTGCCTATTCTGTGGCGTGTACACTCTCATTGCCGTTGTTGCTTTCGCAACACGAGACAGTTTGGCATCCTCGCCGCTTTTGCTCGCCGGTCATTGGCCTGATGCAAAGCATAGCAAGTTGAGCCCTGTCATCATCTCGCGACTCCTCTGCGCCCCAATGCTCGTCTGGCTGCTACTCTTCACATGTCTCTTGAGCCAACTGGGGCTCAGGCCGTGTGAAAAGATAAGTTGGCGTGGGGACCAACTCTACATGTAACCATGGATCGCGTGGATGTAAACCACTATTTTTCTTCCTGGAGTGAGGCGTATCAGCGAGCGCAGAAGTGATTGAAGCAACACAGTACACAGAGCCTAGCTATCACTCGCCTCGAGATTCCGACGCGACTTTAGCCACACATCACAAGGCGAAACACAAATCGATTGAGGACCTCCAAGAAAAGGAAGGGATGAAGTCGATCATTGCCATCAGCTTTCGAGCAAGTCATGGTCTCTAGAGCTGAGCCATGTCCTGCATACAATATCTGCTTGACACCGTGTCACATGTGCAAATTTGAGAAAGGACATATTCTCACTCCGCGATTCATTTTTGCCTTGTTTGCATCTAGTCAGCGGAATCGTTGCTCGACAGCTAGCAGCAGGTGGCCCCAAGATCTTGTATTACGGAGCCCTACCTTCTACGCTCTTGCACCTGGCTGCGGGGAAATTTGTGGTTTTCTATCGTGGATTGGGTAATTCTGGGTGGATACCGCTTGGCCTTGGTAGTACATGGCGCGGACTCGTCTGAGACAGGACTGCTTGCTTTAAGGAGAGGGAAACGGAAGGATTAAACCGGAGTTTCGCGATATACCCCCCGCGCACCGCCTACCCCGTTCTACTTGGGATTCGATACTGACTACTAACGCTGTGCTGTCACTCTGTGCTCGCTGACCCGCATTCAAGAGGTCGATGACGGGGCTTTGTGTTGAAAATTCCCTGTTTTTTGAGATTGGACCGTGGATGCAGCTCGTAAATCAAACCGATGCGCATTTTAAAATACTGATGTCTTATCTTGGCATTGCCTTAGGAATATTTCCACAAGTCCGCCGGACCTGTAAAGAAGGTCATGCTCACCTATAACCAGAACGGTACTAGCCGCGGCATTGCCGCCATTACCTTCGTTCGTCCAGATACTGCCGCCAAAGCCGCAAAGGAACTAAATGGTTTACTCATCGACAAGCGACCCATCAAGGTATGATGAGGTATACCCAGAAATATATATATTAAATATGGAGGTTATGCACGCTAACATTGGGTCGATAGATTGAGGTGGTTCTTGATGCCTCCCGTGCTCCCACTCTGCCTGCAGTGAAACCTCTGACTGAACGTGTCGCGTAAGTTTTTGTGAAGTCGCAATCCCACTTGCACCGCGCATCCCACGTACCATTCTAACATGAACATAAATCAGTCAACCAAAGCCTCAACCCAAACCCGTATCAGCCACAAAGGCCAGCGCGGGTTCAAAGCGTGGCCGTTCCCGCCGCGGACGCAACGCTGGTCGCCCAAAGCCCAAGTCAGTCGCAGAGCTCGATGCTGAGATGGAAGATTACTTCCCGACAACGAATGCTGCTCCTGCCGCGACCAACGGAGCCGCACCACCAGCTGCGACTGGCGGTGAAGATCTTGGAATGGATGAGATCTCTGTACGTTGAAATACATAGTTTCCCACACTGGCGAATCCGCCTAGTCGGGTTAATCAGGGACACATTTGGCTAATTTATGATGTGGCAGTAAACCGATCAATGATAAGCACACCGCACCGCATAGCGTTTGAAATAAAAGGAATAAAAGCACACTCTTCCTTTTTCTGTAGTTTTAACTTTCGCCGCGGTCTTAATTCCTTACTGCCATCTACTGGACGATGATTTGTCAGGGACAGGACTGTGATCTTTTCTCGATCGAGCATATCAAAATCGCTGTTCTGTGCGCGGGACAATCTTCGTTCAATCAAATGAGCATGCCTTACATACATCCCCACTTCGCAATTCGTCCCATTTTATCCTGCGGCTGTGCTTATGCTTGTTATTTATGCACGGAGTTATTTTCTTCTGTTGGGGAGCCGGGTTTTCTTTTTTAAGTTATTTCTTTTGTGTGTTGATTCTGATCCTACTGGACCAAAGATAACCGACGTTGATAGCAGGTATCACTCAATTATCGATTCCATGACGGTCATACATTTGGGAAGTTCAGCTATTGAGGGGGATTCATGGAATAGAATGGATTGCGTGCGTCTAGGTTTTGGGTTTGGCTGGGTTGAGTACCGAGTTTCGTTCGGGCCGTACTGTTTTTTTTTTTTTTTTTTTTTATTAGCAAACCAGGTTGTGATTTAAAATTTATTCTTTTCATCTCCTGTTCCCTGGGAAAATCAAATCACTATTTTATATATTATTATATGGCGCGCCCCTTTGCCGGTTTCATATCGGACCTTTTTGATCTTTCGAGAGCTACGGAGTACTACGTACGTACCATTATCTCAACCGTCAAGAAGCCGCACGTGGTGACAACCGAAGGCTAATTACAATAATGAACTGACACTGTCACATTGCCCACTCCAACCATTACAGCGAATATACCACCCAGCAACACGCTCCTCATACCGGTGCACGAGCCTCGGCTGTTAGTTAGATAGATGTTATGGTTTTGTCGGCATCTGACCTGGGTTGATTGTGGAAGTATGTAAGCATTCCAGAGTATGATCTCCGATATTTTGGCCCAGGGTTCATTTTCATTCCATTGAAACTAGCGGGAGTAAATAGAATGAGAGAGCGCATGGGACTGACTAGCCATGGAACTACGGTTGATCGCGAAGCTGGGATATTATCTACCAACAACAACCTACATAGCTATAGATTTTACCGGGCTGTTTCCATCCATGGGGATACCGTATCTCATGCTGATTACGAGGGCAGACGCGCCCCCTGTTTTTATTTTACATCAGTACAGCAGTTTCGAAGCCATCCATGGCGCTGGGTGCATCCTGATAGTTATAAAGAAGTATAGGAACTAGGTAGGAATCACTGCCAGATGAGGGGACAACCCAACCGGAGCGAGCCTCTTCTCCTGCTTTTCGGGATAGAGGTGGGAGAGAAGAGAGAGGTTTGGAATCGCCGCTTTCTTTCAAGAGAATGTACGCAGTAAGGGGAAATGAAGCCGGAACTTTGTTTTCTGCTCATCCCATCCCTCCATCCCTCTCTCTAAATTTAACCTACGTGCAGACAAGATAACAGAGATCGGTGCGCATACTCTGGGTCCCGAAACAAAAAAGAAAAAAAAGGATACAGTGATACAGTGATACGTGTAAAGGGGAGAGAGAGCCGCAGATGCATGCCCAACGGACGAAGAAGTATAAAATATCTTTATTATTATTTATATTTTATATTTTATATTTTTTTGCAAAAAGTAAAATCAAACCCCCAATCAAATGCAACGGAATGAATGCAAAACAATGACGGCCTACCTATTCGATTCGGCGATTTCCATGTGCGGATATATGTATGATATGTAACTTAACCCAACCCATTGCGGCACAATCACCCGCCCCGAATCCGCAGCACGACATCATCCCCCGCCCCGTACGTACATGTACATACATACTTACTTACATACATATACATAGATGGTCGTTGGTCATCGTCGTGCGTGGGTCAAACGTCGTTGTTAGATAGAGTTAATAATAGTTGGTTGCCGCCCTCGTTTCCCCATATCATATCAGCCCCATATCATATCAGCCCCAGCAACAACCCATCCCACCGCATCGCATAGTTACTCCGTACTCCGTACTTCCGTACAGAGAGGAGTTAACTAGTAAGTAGTTAGTTACTGCGTAGGTTATCTCCCGTAACTCCTCCCGCATAATCCAAAGAATGAAGGAAGAATCAATATCAATACGAACGAAAACTACGGTGACATGGACATGGACATGGACTTCCATTCCAACAATGGATATACCTACCCCCCCCCCGGCCCCAACGCCCGCTGGAACTGTAACCGCTCACCAGCATCCATCATTCATCGCTGTTCGCTCATTGCGCGTCGCTTCTGCCCGGACACAGCCCGTACATACATACTTACATACATACATAGGCCGACAGAGAACCAAATCCCCAAATCCCCATACCCGGGCATCCATACCTCCAAGAACGCGCTGGATAACTGCCGGAATCCCCCCAAACGCCGACAACGACCATCCATTCCACGGTCCCGCTTCTACCCGGACCGAGATGTACATGTACTTGAATATTTGAAAAAGGCTGCATAGGATCATCCATAGTTATATATTGTATTATATTATATTTCTTCCCCCCCTTTTTGTCAACATCTGGTGAGTGATAGGACAGGTTAATCCCATCGTACCCATAATAAATAACTATTTCTAGCTGGATTAATCCCGTATGTACGGGTTATCTCTTTGTATATATATATATATATATATATGCAAGGTGGAGGAAAACGAGAAACACCCCAATCAATCAAGGTGTGTGATACAGTATGATGCAATGCCATGCTAAAAAAAAGAAAGGGAAAAAAAAATCGGTTTCACCAGCACAGCTGCGATCGTATCGACAAACAATAATAATGAAGAAAAGTCAACAGAAAAATGAAAAAACGAGGTCGATACCAATTTGGTCCGGGAGGGTATAATGCCAAAAAAAAAAAAAAAAAAAAAAAAAAAAAAAAAAAAAAGAGGCGCTGAATGAATATGGACAAAAAAGGAAAATTCAAGGTGTTCTCCAACACTGCGCTGTGCTTCGCTGGTACGGAATACAGAAGAGAGAAATAAAAAAGAAAAAAAGATCAAAACCCGAATGCCGAAGGTAACACCACGCAAAACACAAAGGGATATCGGAAACCAAAAGCCAAGGAAGAGTATTATAAAAAAATAAAAAAATAAAAAATAAGAAGCCGGAGCGGGTGCGAGGGGGAGTCGAGGCGTGGGCAAGGGATAGGCAGAGAACGAACAACCCAAGAATAAAATAAACGATGATGATAATTATGCCAGATCTGATTTGTGATGACAGCACAGCGCGATCAACAGGCGGTGAAGAAAGCGACGGGGCGAGCAGGGCGAAGCCGGCAAGGCGGATGACATCTTGCGTGCGCGGTAATAGGCTGCTGAAGAATTGGTTGGATAGATAGGGCCAAGGCGGTGGCGGCCGCGGCGGTGGTGGTGATGGTGGTGATGGTGGTGGGGAGAGAACCATGCTGCGTGGGGTGAAACACAAACATCTTCACACGAAAACCCAACAGCAAATCGATCTCCTCGCATCGGGCAGCAAGAAAACACCCGCTGCCCCGCCCAGCCAATATGCTTGCGGTATTTGCTTCCGAGCTGGGAAAATCACAAAATCGTCCAGTTGACACCCGCGCTGACAAAAATGAGTCACCACCAACGAAAATAAAAAATAAAAAAATTTAAACTCGGGGCCGATTTCCTCATCAGGCCTTGTCGGCTGCGTGGGCGGTGTATAAGAGGTGTAAGGAGGCGATGCGATGGCGATGGAAATAATAACAATAATAATCAGAATAATAATATTGGGTCGTATCTGACGCCCGTAAACTTAACCCCAGACTGAACGGCTGACAAACTGTAACCAAACGACTGGCTTGGGGGT